GACATTTGCGCATGGACAGAAGAAAGAGAGGGAGGAAAAGAAGGGAAAAGGGAAGGTGAGGATGGATTAATCTACAGTTTACACTTTTGAGTGCCTCAGGTAGTGAAGAACTTCCTAACTTTAAGCTGGCTCATTCTGCTTCCATAGTTGTATTAATTAGAGATGTCTCTCATTCAGTGTTAAAGTATAATCTTTCTCTTTGTAACTTCTTCCCTCACTCTGGTTCTGTTGCTAAATAATATATTCAACTCCCTTTTTATATGTCCCCATCAATCAGTCTTTTTAAACGTTTTCACTGACATAATAATACCCCTCACAGCAGAGATGGGTAAACTGACTCCCCAGGTCAGTGTCAGACATAACCATTTGTCAACATGTTTTTGAAGGCCCTAGTTTTTCCTTAAAACAGTCCTGTGAATTTTATAATGTACTTAAGACATTAAGTACTTTTATAAGGTACTTAATGTGCTTATCTTCATAAATACAGTAAGTCCTGACTTACAAATAAGTTCCATTCAGGGAGAGCGTTCATAAGTTGGATTTGTTTGTAAGTCCTACAAAGTGAGTCTTATACACCTTTGACACAAATATATGACGTAAAGCATAAAAAAACCAAACTTCCACATCACCACTGCTTTTCCTCTTGCTTCTGGACATGCTGGGCTCTGACTGAGCACCGTACTACCGTACACTATTGCACTGTACAGCGTGCACGCAGCGGCACAATTGTGACAGTGTCCAGCAGACACGTGAGCTACTTCTACAATTTGTTCACATCTGTGTAATGTGAGGTCCATTCCTGTCTATGAAAGTTTTCGATTCAAACATTCATAAGTTAGGGAGTTACTGTAAGTAGCTTTTTCTACATATTTCAATAAAACTGATACTTTAGCCTGCTCTGCCTCGTCAGTCATGGAGCTTTGAGTACCACTAGGGATGTCACTCCAGTGCAGACCAGGATCTCTCTTTATAAATTGGTTTCCTCTTCATAATCTGTAAAGCAACTCTATCATTATCATAGACTAACATGTATTGATTTCTTTTTTATTTTTTAAATGATACATAAAAATTGCACATATTGAAAGTTTCATGTAATGTTTTGATACATGTATACATTGTGTAATGCTCAAATCTGGGTAAACATATCTGTTTCTTTAAACATTTATCATTCCTTTATGGTGAAAAATTTCAAACTCCTTTTTTCCAGCTTTCTGAAATATACGGCACATTATTGTTATTCTATAGTCTCCCTACTGTGCCATGGCACACAGGAGCTTGTTACTCCTATCTAACATAATACCTTTGATCAGCCTTTTACCATCCCTCCCCTTATTGTCCCTGGCTTTCAGTAACCACCTGGCTGCTCTCACCTTCCATAGGACATATTGATTTCTTAATGTCTGTCTTAAGATAACATGCTCAGAATTCACTACAGCTGCCCAGGTGTACTGTGGGAAGTGCAGAGAGCAGTGGACTAGACCCTCTTTGTTTTCTTTTTCTTATTAGTGTATGTTGGCAACACATAATAGTTATTTCTGTTTGGGGGGATTTGTACATGCCTGTAATATAACTTGTTAATATTGCATCTGTTTACCTCCCTCTTCCCTACCTCTTCCCTCCCCTGATCTCCTCCATTTCCAAAAACTCTGCTTTCTTGTTTCCTACCATCTCTTATTTATTTATTTATTTGTTTGTTTGTTTATATTTTAGGTTTCTTATATAAGAGAAAACCATGCAGGATAAAGGCTTTAGAAATACTTGCTTTATTTTTAAGCTGAATAAAAGGCAAATGAGTACTCATTTCATTATTTATTGTTTATACCATATATGGTGTATACTGTTTTCTATGTATGAAATATCTTTCTAGTTTAAAGGTGAGAAAAATTTAAAGTAGCTCAAAATTTTGTCATTTCCTTGCTAGCCTGTATTTCTCTTCTAGTTAGTTCATAATGAACTCTGATCAACTCTACCTACAGGGAACATAAGCTGTTCTCACAGGGAAGCTCCACATCTTATTCCTGTCTAGGGGAATTTTTGGACTAAGGACAAGCCTTTATATTTAATCCTCATCTGTGTCCTAGCCTTACTTTAAATGTCCCAGCTCAGAAGTGACACTTGTCAGGGCCGGGGATTTAGGTCAGTGGCAGGGCGCCTGCCTCCCAAATGCAAGGTCCTGAGTGTGATCCCTGGTACTGCAAAAAAAAAAAAAAAAAGAAACACTTGTCATTTCTGTTTACAACTCACTGGCTCCAGCCAACCAAAAAGATATCCGAGTTCAGTCATGAAATTTCATGGCTTCGTGTGCTCCCAGTTGCAGAGGTGGATATGTATGGTGAACAGATTAACGACCATCTCATGGAATAAATACAACACTTCTCAAAATTGCTGCTAGAAACCTGTCGTCACAAGGCCTTTGAAATAGTGAAGACCCTGGGTTCTGGGTGGGAAAAGACCAAGGTCCAGTAAAAACGAATCCACCCGCGACCATCTTTCTTCGCTTCAGTGTATTTTTCATCAGCCTCCTTCGGCTGCGGCAAATCTGTTTGTTACAGATCTTCAGATTATCACCCAACACCTGTTATCCTGTTTGTAAGACTTCTGTGAAAAAGTTTGTGAGACAGCTTGCTGAAAGCACAAGCTGTTTGATCTATACATCCATTTTAAGTTAAAGAAAAGCCTATTTATTTGAAACAGGATGGATTTGTTTTAGATCCATCAGTTGTACCCATAGCTGAATCTATTTCAATGAAAGTACAAAAGAAGAAATCCTGCATAAATTTCATCAAGCATTCAAGTAATAAAAATGGATTCTAAAGTGTATTTGGAAAATACCAAAACACAAAACTACTTTACATGAATGATATACTCACATATGTAAAAACATGTGATTGCACGCAAAGTATGAAGCTGAGGCTGTCTAGGAGATAAACAACATGAACAAGAAGGATTGGGCATGAAAGCAACATCCACCTTCCATGTGAAATTGTACCTGGCTGAAGACAAGTACCTCCTTAGGCTGCACAGGGTAACACAGAAGCGCAATTTCCATTGCAAACCTGAAGCAGTTTTCAAGAAGGGCAGTACAATGCGGCCTTTAGTGTCCTGGAGCTATGAGCATCTTGTCACTTGATTTCTATGTAAGATGGCTGGCAGAATCCAGTGGGAGCTTTGGGCCTTAAGCATGGGGCTCTAGTGATTCTGACCAGGCTGAATAGGGCTGATAAGAATAGCTTTTCCAAAAGGGGTTGCTCTTGTTTGCAAAATGGAATCAACAAGCCCATTGAGAATGGATATAGTATGGGTTACACCTGGACCTGTTCTAAAAATAACTCAAGGCAAATTTCTTTGGTGTTTGTAAACCCCAAGAATGGAGAATCTTAAAAACAAAAGAAACAAATCAGAAAGGAAATTTTTTCATGTGTTCCCTAATTCAGAGTGAAAGTCACCTTCGATTCTTTTCTGAGTCTTAAAAAAAAAAAAAGAAAAGAAACTGAAGACTAGTTCAGAAAACTATTTTGACTGTAGAGAATGTTGCTTATTTGGAAAGCTCCAGGATTGTAAGACTATAGCTTTAGTGATTTGCCTTTTTTGTTGTTGCTGTTGTTGGCAAAATGTGATGGGGGTGTGGTAAAGAGTAGAAATGGGCTGGAGAAAAGCACCAAGGAGAGGGAGGCTGGCATTACACGTGAGGAGCCTTCACATCCAGACCTGCTTCTGTCTCTGATCAGTTATGTGGCTTCTGGCTAAGGGTGTCCCCTCTCTGGGCCACAGTGTCCTCTTTCATTAAACAAACACAGCGGCTTAGAGCCTGTAAGGACAGACAGCTTGTTCATGTAGTGCTTTTATGCCTCCTCTGTAATTTCATTAGCTCCTCACAACAGCCTGCTGAGTGAGACACACTAAGTGTGCTCCTTTCCTCCCTGCATGTGACACTAGTGCAGAGACTCACGAGGTTCCAGGTGGCTTAGGTTACACACTCGTACACTCAGAGCTTCTGACTTTACCACTTGGCTTACTGCTTCTATCAGTTGGTTGCAATGTTTTCAGCTCATAGGGTAGAGAGCTCTAGAAGTATCTTTCCTTCCCTGTTATTTTTAATTTGAAGTATTAGTTAAGGACACGTAATATTAGGTAAGGATATTAGTAGCCACCTCTGCACCATCAACCCTAAGGAACAGTGGGAAGGGGATCATCCTGCAGGATGTGTGAAATTCACAGCTTCCTTAAGATTTCCTTCCCTTCTTTGCCTGCGAGCTCTGTGCCTGCCTCCTTGCCTCCCTCCCGTTTTCTCACATTAGTGCTGACACTTCTGGTCTCTGCAAGTGCTTGTAGTGACACCAGGCTTCCTGAGAGGTGTCTCCTGTCTTAGGTTGGGTGTGAGTTATTTTTGTTTCTGAACTTGCCTAAACCAAAGGAAACCTTTGCTACTTGACATGGCGTGAATGATAGCATCAGGAATCCTTTTAAATCAGAGAAGAAAAATATGTTTCATTGGCACCACCTTTCCAGACATAGGCAATCTCAGATATTTTGCTGAAGATATCATGGGGACTTTAAAAAAACATTCATGCTCAGATGCACAGTCCTTCTTCATTGTGCATTTTGGGTTTTTGGATGAGGTTTATTTTGGCATCATTGGTCATGGCAGGTAGGTAGCCACATTCATGTTAGATTTTCTAGGATATGAGTTTTATAGCCTTGTAGGTAGTCCAATTACTGTTCAAAGAAAAGGAAAGAAATGAGTAATCTTCCACATTTTTTCTTAAGCATCCCTCATTAGAGCCTACTTCTCACTAACTCTTCCCTGTGGGTTCGCTGCAACGTTTGCATTTTGTATTTATTTAATTTGTTGTTTGAATTGTTTTGGGAACCTCCTGTAATGGGCGGAAGTCCCCTCTGGCTTTGGCAGCATCTATCTTGCCCACCCTTCAGTTTCAGCACTTGCGCATTACAGCCGCTTCCTGACTCCCATGCCTCACTGTGGATACTTTGTTTCACAGGAACAGACAATCTACAGCTAGGAGTCACCCCGGCCCCAGAGTCATTTCCTCATGGGAAGCTGTTACCAATTTCACCAACATGGCCTTTCTCAGAAGTCAAGTCTTATTCGGCAGCAGACAGAATCAAGAGTGTACTGGGACAGTCTCTTGACAACACAAGCTTGTTGCAGTTGGCCCGGACACCTCTGCCCAAGATGCACCACAAGACCAGAGCTCAGGGGGACTTCTCTTCTTCCCTTTATCAAGGAAGTGGACATAGTGCCTCTCTGGAACCATCCAAGGACTCCACCGAGGCCCTGGTCCAACCAAGGCCTCAAGGGGAAGGAGAAGCGGCGGATATGTCAGGTTTGCCTCTCACCAGCATGCTTCCCCCATCGTCCACAGTCCCATTGTTGACCTTGAGTGCCATGCCCCCATCTCAGCCACCAGTAGGGACTTCCTTCTTTCCGAAGCATTCCTTGTGGTCAGACAGTCTCCCGCTCCTCCTCCTTCCACCTTCATCCTCTTCATTGGCTTCTCACTCACCTCATCCCATCAGCTTCTCTCAGCCAGCAGAGCAGCCCACCAAAGTGCCTTTGCTCCCCCATACAGCTCCAGCTGTCGTTTCTTCAGGTCAGAACGTAGCTAATGCCCTAAGCTCATTTTCTGATGAAAGGAACCACACTCCATCCAAAATTTCCCAGGATTTCATAAGTGTCCCTCATCTAGGTTTTTCAGGATCCTCAACAAGGCAGCACTCTGAGTTGTCCCCAGCAGAGGGTCCTGGCTCAGCAGGCTCACCCACACCTGTGATTTTGAGCCCCATGGCAGAGCTGGCCCAACTGTCTTCCTCTTCCCTAGCACCTGGAGGTCTTTGGCTTCCAGGTGGAACCCCCTCATGGCCCACCTGGGAAGTGGCCTCAAGTCCTGCCTTCACCCAGCCGGTCCACAGGGCAGGGGCTAAACAAGTGCACAGTGGGGTGCCTTTGCCGACTTTTAAGCGTGCAGCAGAGGCTGTGCCTTCGCTTTTCCAGACTGCACAATCAGTGGCTATAGAAATAACCAGCAGAAAGCTAGCCCCTGCTCCTCCTGCAAATGACTCCGCTAACCCACCGCATTTGTCAGCAGCTCCAGAGAATTCCAGAGGGCCTGTGGTTTCAGCAGAACACACATCTTCCTCTTGGGTGCCTTCTCCTCTGCCTTTCACCGCACCAGGCCAAGGGCAAGCCATCCCTTCTGGGGCGGTTCCCGCATCACCACTGAACAGGACGGGCGACCTTCCCTCCTCTGTCCTCCAGCCCACAGAGAATCAGGCCTCTCCAACCCCCGTGCCAGAAATGCCCCTTCTTCAAAGAGAAAATAAAGATATGCCCCCTTTTCCTGCAGCTACACACCTCCTCCCCTTGAGCAAATTTCATCTTCCCACGAAGATCTTTCCCCTGCAAAAGGAGGGTAGTGGGACAGCTGTTTTAAGGAAAAATGAAAAGGCAAATGTGACAGTTCCTCTCCAGGCCTTTACAAGTAAACAAGTTTCGAGTCTTCACACTGTAAATGGATTCACTTCTGATTTTAGCACTGGTCCTGTTTCTTCTCCCATCATTACAACACCAGAAACAAACTTCCTCTTATCAGGATCACCTCTGCCTTCCATGCCTGCCATTCAAACCACCCTGTTGGGTTCCCCATCTCCTGCCTTTTCCAGCACCAAACCAGAGTCTTTCACAGCTGCTGTGGGCCACTTGGAGTTGCCAGCTTCACCTTCCAAGCAGGTGACACCATTTCCCTCTTCCTCTGATGTCTCTGATTTCTCAACAATGGGAGACATGAACAAGCCAACAACCACAGATGTTTTCTGGAGTTCTCTTTCAGCAAAAACTGGACCCCTTTCCACACAATCAACAATATCTGGCTTGCAGCAGCAAACAAATTATGATTTAAATGGTCACAGAATTAACTCCACAAGTTGGGAAACTCATTCAGCTTCAACTCTTCTTCCCAGTGGTTTAACTTCAGCTACCAGTGCAATAAAATCCCAGGATTTCAAAGATACTGTTGGGCAGTCAGTGCCTGCAGAAGGCTTTAACATTCAGGATCTCATTCTAGACCCAGCCACCCACCACCCTGTACGACAGTCAGGTGTGACCGTGGTTGGGAACCATACAGACCTCTGGCCCACAAGCCATAATAGCTATTCCAGAATTTTCCAAACAGAGAAGGTTGAACATTACCCATCCACAAGTCAACAGCCGATGTCACATCCCCATTTACGGCTGCCTGCCCAGCCAACCCATCCTCTTTGGCTAACCTGGCTCAGGCTGTCTTCTATGGTTAGTTTGCAAGAAATGCTTTCAGATGGAACAGATACAGGTCCCCAAGTTTCCAGGGACATCTATCTTTCACATGGGATAAATGCTTCCACACCCTTCAAGAGCATCCTGGGATATCATTCAGCTGCTGAATCTCCTCCTATATCAACCAGTGCCTTTCCCAGGACCCCCTCAAGAGTGCTGCAAGCTTCTCAGCGCCCCAAGAAACGGACAGGTGCAGCCACTAATGCAGATAGTTTGTTTCCTGGTACCCCCAAAACAGGTATGACTGCTTTCATGGCCAAAGCATCTTCAAGCTCAACACAGATATCCAGCTTTCAGGAGTGAGTTAGCACCCCCAAATAGACATGGCATACATGCTCTGCCCACTTCTTTTTTTTGAAAATATTCAGAATTTGTGTCCTTATTACCAGCCACACCTTTGCTATAAGTGTCATTCTCGTTACAGTTAATTGATTTAATGAGCTTAAAGTTGTATTGCCCAAGTTCACCCACTGCAAGCCCAGAGTGTGGAGGTTTTTCAGGCTAACACACCCATATGTTACATCCATTCGTCACCAGGACAAGGGATGTGTGCCTTCTGGGCCAGTGACAAGCTTTGCCTTTTCTCTCTTTACAGTGGACTCCTCACTGTCATTCAAGATAGAACCGACTGCAGCAGCCTCTGCCACATTGCTTCTGAGGAAATCGAGTCCACCGGCACTGTCTGCAGCCCTGGTTGCCAAGGGCACCAGCAGCAGTGGCTTAGCCAAAAGCAGTGTGACCACTGCTATGGCTAGGAACGTCACCAACAAGGCAACAGCTGACCCAAAGGTGACTGCAGGGCCAATCCATACTGCCTTCCCATTCACGCCAACCTACATGTTTGCCAGAACAGCACACACCATGAGCGCACACGCGGCCATGCAAGGGAGCACAGGCACTGCCTCTGGCCCGTTGTCCACGACGCACCTCCCCAGGAAACCACAAGCCATGCACACTGGTCTCCCAAACCCCACCAAGCCAGAGCTGCCCAGAGCATCCACCCCTCGCCCGCTGACGATCACGGCAGCACTGACGTCCATTACAGCGTCTGTGAGGGCCACCCGATTGCCCCCTCTGCAGGCAGAAAACACCGATGCTGTTCTTCCTGCTGCATCGACCGCAGTGGTCACAACTGGCAAAATGGCATCCAACCTGGAGTGTCAGATGTCCAGTAAGCTCCTGGTGAAGACAGGTGAGAGGCCACTGTCCTGATTTGGCTTGGAAGCAGCAAACCTCGTCTCAGAGATAGAGCTGAATTCTTTCTCTTTTAGTTCAGTGATTCTCAATCATTTGGCCATTTTGGGAGACACTTGGGGTTGTCACACTTAGGGAAGGGGGTGCCACTGGAATTTAGTAGGATACTGCTAAACATTCGCAAATGCATAGGACAGCCCTCAAAAACAAAGAATAATCCCACCCTAAATAATCCAGTCTGCCCGGGTTGAGAAACCTTGGTCTTTATCAAGTGTCAGAGGAGAGGAAGAGCTTTAGGTGACATGGATTCCAGGCGTAGGTTCAGTCCTGACATCAGAGGACCCTGGGAAACCACAGTTCTTCTACTGGGTCTGAGAATGCCAATGCACACCATGTTTTAGAATCATGATGTCTCAGATAAATTAATAATGTGATTCACTTAATGCAAAATCATGGAATGTGCTATATAATTCAGACAAGCTTTTTGTCATGTGTCTTCTTAATCAGCAGATACTAAAAGGACAGTTATGGTGCACAAGATGGGAGCCCCAGATTTCCTTTGATGTTAAAAAGGAGACTCTCTTAAAAGAAAATATGGGTAGGCTGCATTAGAACCATGAGCAAAGCAGGATGTTCTCATTTAACCCCCAATCTCTAGTGGCAGCAAAGCAGGCCTAAAATGCACATGGTGCTTTTAATAGTGTGGTAGTGTTTGCTGTAAAAAGCATTAGGCAAATTATTTGCAAGAGCATGCCAGCGTTGAATGCTTGCATCTCGCCTTCCTCCTCACTCCACAAAGAATGAGATGAAATTATATCTTGAGACTTAGCCTAGTCTAAAATGGGAAATTGTGAAACTAGGCAGAGCGGAAAATACAGTATCTCTTTCTATTTCTCAAGAAATTATACCATCTGGTTTTGCACTCCTCCTTCGAGATCTATACTTTCTCCTTGAGGGGCAGACAGCCCAGCCCCCAGCCCACACCATGCAGAAACATCCGTCCTCCTATTTTCTTCACCTCCTCCCACCCTAGCTACAACCAACCACTCAATAGTTCCTTCTGCTTCTCCCTCCCAGGTACTCCTCTCTGACCTGGTTCACACTGCCCCTTCCTGAGGACACACTGCTACCATTGGTCACCTACATTTCTGCCACACCAGCCCCATTTATCTCTCTCCCATCAGGTCTCCCCACTCTCCATTCTGTTCTCCAGGCCACAGTCAAGGGAACCTAAAATACATTGCTTTGCTTAAAACTCTTCATTGCCCACTGCCCTCAGGACCAAGCCTAACTATGTCCACTGACATATTCCACTTCTCTCCCCTGCACCTTGGCATTCCCTCTACTGGGAGTTGGAGGGTGGAGGCATTGCCTTCCCATGCCTAGCTCACACCTGTTATCCTCTGGGCTCAGCTGCAGCATCAATTCCCATGGAGAATCAATTCCCTGATCCCAGCCTCTTGCCCAACTCAGGACTGGATGCTCCTCTCAGAAGCTCTGACAGCTTCCTGGGCTTCCATCTAATAACAACACCGGTCACATTTGATCACCGATGCCTTTTCTGCATCCCTCATCTCCATCCTTGGCTGTGAGGTGGGGCTGCCCCTCCCAGACTTAGGGTTGGTTTGGGCTGCAGCACTATGCTCAGGACCTGCGCCTAAGTAGGCTGTCAGTGGATGGTATCCTAGTCACTTTCTCATCTCTGGGACAAAATATCCAACTGCAATTTAAAGGAGGAGAGGTTTATTTTGGTGCACGGTTTCAGTCTCCAAGGTGGAAACAGATGGTAGAGGGGTAGGGTAGAGGAAAAGGTGCTCAACCCATAGCAACCAGGAAGCAGAGCGTGAAGAGAGGAGCTGGGGACAAGAGTACATCCTTCCAGGTCACCAGTGACCCACTTCCAGCCAGGCCCCACCTCCTAACAGCACATTCAGCTACCAAACTCATCTGTGGATGAATCCAGTGATAAGTACAGCACCCCCACAACCCAGTCACACACGCACACGCACACACACACACACACACACACACACACACACACGAGAATCTGGGGGAGGGGTGCATTTTAGATCTAGACCATAACAGATGGCGTCACAAGAATTTCACTGCATGCAGACCTACCTAGGACAGGCACTGCAGAGCCTGGCTTTCAAGGTCAGAAGTAGCATGTTTAAAAATGAAGTGCTCCCAGCATATCAGCACTTCGTCGATGAGGGTCACACATGTGGCTCAGTCCTCTTTCCTTAGGGCTTTAGCAGAACCAACAGAGCCACTATCCATGCCCATCCCCTCATTGTGGACCTTTGCTTATCAGTTTTGCGAAGAATTTGCAGGAGATGGTGTCTAGGAGGAGAGAGGGCTTGTGCATAATGAAGCTTCACCTCACTCTGATTGCTATACTTCTGTTTCACCCCCACAGTCCTCTTTCTGACTCAAAGGAGAATGCAGAGCAGTGAATCCTTGAAGCTCAGTGTAGCCAGAGGGCTCACCCAGGCCCTTCGGAAGGCTTTCCACCAGCCCGATGTGACAGCTCACGTAAGCTCCTTGCTTGATTACAATCCATCTGTCCAGAGTATGTTTAGATGGTTTTCCTCCTTCCCAGGTATGACAGCAGGAGTCAAATCTTTCTTCATTTGGGTAAAAAACCAAGATGTTGTGGCTGGTGAAAAAGGTCATATTTTGAGATGGAAATTGACACTACTTGCTTTATGTCTTTTTTTTCTTTAAGCCTGGGTATACTGTTTTAAATCATCCTATTATCCCATAATTTGGGGAGAATATTTAATACTGTCCATGTAATTCTCTAGAAAACATCCATTGCTTTTTCTTTTATTTTCTACACCATTGTAAATCAAAATTTATTTCTGGACATTTAAAAATTATTCTGACTTGTAAATTGAGTCCAATTCTGCTTAAATTGTCAGCAGTAGACAAGGAAGTAAACATTTTTTTTCCTCCAAATACTTTAATGCCAAGTGCTGTTTAACAACTGCTGGCTGGTTTTGATGGCATATCCGAATAATGGAGGCTTGCTTTATACTCTTTCGGTTTGATTCCAAGTGTTAAAGCAGGAAACACAACTGGCAGTCAGTGGAGTCTCTTTTGCACCACTTAAAAATATTGTTCTGGCTTCCTTTGATGTTCTGTTCGACAGCTGCATTCAGCTTAATAGTCTCCTCCCCACCCATCACACCAAGGACTAGGAATGAGATTTGGCACATTCGTACTTTCTTGGTCATTGTCAATCTCTCATAATTCTAAAAAAAGGACAGGAAGAAAAAGAATAAAAAGAAGTGTATTCTATAAGAGGGTCTGTGGTTTCTGCCCCAGAAACTTGACTTAGAAGTTGAAAATGTGAATGTTCCCATTTAGTTTAGTGAAACTGCCTGATGTAGTTTTCACTCAACTTCATTCTCCAACTACATTACAGCTTTGGTCTTTTCTGCACAACAACACAGACCACTGTAAAAATTAGCACTTTTCTTTTTCAAAAATTGGCTTGCTTTTTAAATTTTAAACACATTTGTTTTCAAGGTCTATTGGATATGATGACTGTAAATGGAAACCACAATTATGTGCCATAAATAAAAGGTAGTGGTAAAAACGAGAATGAAGTAAACCAAATAGCTTGTTAAATTCTAGCTAGATGTTGTTTCTTGGTGTCTCTCTCTTTGTTAAAGAAAGAGGAGGAAGAGGAAGGGAAGCAGCAGCAGGAGCAGCTAGGGTTAAGCAGGTGGTAAGAGCACAGAGTGCCTGAAGCAAGGCCTGTTCTTTGAGGTAATTACAAGGCCCAGAAAGGAAGCCCTGGGTAAGTTGGTACTGTTTTGGGCTGTGTCCATGGTCCACCTTGAAGTTTCTCTGGTTCCACCTACAATCACCTTTTCCAGCAACTCTAGGAAAAGAACCAGTGGAGGATGCACTGTGGAGACATCACCACAAAAGCAGTTGTCTTGGTTTCCTTGGAAAATCCACATGACTTTGTTCTTGCTGGGGATGGTAGCCACTTCCTTGCACATGCTAGGCAAGTGCTCTATACCTGAGCTACACTCCTCGCTCCATGTGCCACTCCTAACAGAGATGCAAGAATATGGGGGAGTGGAGGTATCCAAAATACCCTGAGGGAGAGGTCCAGTTTTACATGATGAAGAATTCTGCTGATAAAGGACGGTACTGGTTGTTCCCATTAATACCACTAAATAGTACACTTTTAGGTGTACTGTTAAGATGGTAAATTGTATGTGGATGTGTATTTGCACAACTAAAGAAAAGGGCGGGGGGCTGAGGCTCTATCTCAGTAGTAGAGCACTTGCCCAGCATGTCCAAGACCCTGGTTTCCATCCTTAACATGGGAAAAAAATAGAGGTTATATTAGAAGGAGCAGGAGGGAGGGGAAGGAGATGGGATGACAGAGAAAAAAGAATTAAGATGTGTTATGTACATGTATCAATTCTCTATGATAATTGTAATCATTATATACTGCAAACATGTACAAATAAAGGAATAAAAATAAATATTCAAAACAGAGGTTACAAAGCAGTATCTACCATATATGAATATGTATATGTGTGTGTAGTATATAGGTACACATTTATATTTGTATATGTCTGGAAATGTGCATATACATATATATAAAATATGTATTCTTAAGGATAAATGACAGAAAGGCGATACACTCAGAAGTTGTTTTATAATTGTATTATGGTGGCAGTAATATTAGAGGAGATTATTATCTTTTCTCTGTTTTTCACAAATGCTGGTTCAATAATAAACATTATATTTAATATATAAAAAGAAACACAAGAAACACAGAACCGTTGACCTAGAGCACCAAGAAAGTAACATAAAATAAAGCTGAAGTCTGAGAATCTTCCCAGTGGGGCAGAAAGAGCCCAGGCCATGGGTTCCTTAGGACGCAGCTGTGAGCAAAGCTGCCTAGGGCGCATCCCCACCCTGGCTCTGAAGCAGGGTGTAAGCAGAGTGTGGGGCCAAGGCTGGACAAGTCTCCTCTCCGCTGTCAGACAGAGGAATTCACTTGATTTACTTCTTGATCCATTCCCTGAGGGCGTCCCACTTAATTTACCATTTCTACCTTTTTTAATTCTCATAAATGATGAGAAATATAATAAAGCTATTTTCCCAGCATTCCATTCACCTTAAATCTCTCGGGTCCGCTGTCTCCTCTCTGACTTTTTTCTGATAATTACTGTTCATAGGATCATGCTGTGGCCTGTAAAGAATGCAAAAAATGCAAATTTAATTTCATTCCAGGTAAATTTGATGTAAATTTTATTTTGTTGTATTCTGATGCTTTGAAATCTACCAATCCACGGAATGCTTTAAAGGATTATTAGAATATTTGTTAAACGGGAACATCCTATTTGCCAGCTTTACTAAGTAACAGTTGTGGCTCTAAGAAAACCTTAGAAGAATTTAAAGTATTGTGGAACTAAACAATGAGTTCTGGGGTCCATTTGTTTTGTAGGTGGACATTCTGGAACATTCTCATAATGTCTCAGTTGGTTATTATGCTACCAAAGGGAGGCTGGTGTACTTGCCTGCTGTTGTGATGGAAATGCTGGGGGTTTACGGAGTCAGCAATGTCACTGCAGATCTGAAGCAACACACCCCAAACCTACAGTCTGTGGCAGTCCTTGCCTCTCCATGGAAGCCCCAACCTGCAGGCTACTTCCAGCTGAAAACAGGCAAGTAACTCAGAAGGAGAGGATTCCTGTGCCTTGTGGGGTCAGGGCCAGTACCACATGAATACCTGCTTATGAAATCCGTTGCTAGCTGCTCTGTCACGTTTTAAGTCCCAGTCTGCCTTCTTCAAATGGCCCCACTGAACAAATGTCCAAGTCCCCTGCACTTCAGCCTAAACTTTTCTAACACTGAATTTATTAGAAATGTTCCAACACAGAGCTTTTCTTCCCAGTTCATATAATTAGTACATATGAACACTTAGTATTGTATTTTCCCCCTGCATTTCCAGAAGATGCTAGTAAGAGCTGAGCACCCATAATATCTATGGTTTGAAGCAGAAGGTCCAGACATCACTGAATTCAAACCTCTGTGCTTAAGCCCTGGACTCTTTCTTTCTTTCAGTCACCCTAGTGATTTCTAATTTGCAGAGTTTGTAAACCACAGAGTGGAGAAACCATTGAGATGGAAACATGCAATCAACTTAGTAATGGAAGTCAATTAATTTTCCCCCCCTCCAAAAAAATAGAAGGCATGAATGATCTCTCTTAAGTTATTATTTGTGAGTCTTTGAGCAGATGTCTACATACTTTGATTGAATAAAATCACAACATCTTCTACACTGGAGGGAGTCTCAGTTGGATCATGGTTTTGCTTTTTCTCTGGTATCAGTCCTTTTAACAGTCACTTTCAAACCTATAATCAAACCTTGTCTGGCCTTATTGTTTATTTGTCTAATTTCTCTAACCTAAAGTCATGCTGCTTTATATCAAAACTGCTATTAAATCTAAGGAACTAAGATATAGGCCTTTGGCAAATGCTTTGTATGATTCTCATTCTAGTGCTACAGTTTGTGAGCCAATCAGACAACATACAGTCCTGTAAGTTTGCTCAGACAATGGAGCAGAGGCTGCAGAAGGCGTTTCAGGATGCAGAGAGAAAAATTCTCAATACCAGAAGCAACCTGAAAATTCAGGTAGGGAGGAGGGGGCTTCGTGATGAGTGGTTAACCAGCAACCACAAGGGGATTTAGCTCAGTGGGTCCCTCTAACACCCCCACCCGTTTCAAGGCTGCCTTGTGTAAATGTAACTTTGTGCTTTAGGTAGGTGATACACCACCTGAAGTCATGACACTTGTGAGGATGTCTGGGATTGGGCTGTGACAGGAGGGATGCTGTGTCACTACGTACCTGCTATGGTTTGGGGGTATATATTTATTTTCTCATACGATGTGTAGGGAACAGGGAAAGGGGACGTTACTAGAACCTCTGCAGTAAGTCCTAGTCTCCTGCGAGCCACGGCAGCACACGGCGAATTACAGGAAAGGTAGAAAAATGAGACTGAGAAGAAGCTGAGCTTTGGGTCTGATCAGTGCTGCTCTGGGCGGCAAAGACAAAGCCCCCAGCTTACCGCACCTTTTATTCAGTACTCAGTACATGGGGAGAAACAAATGTAACAAATGACTTGCAGAGAGTTCAGTACATCCCCGTAAACAAGATGGTAACAGTCCAAGAACAATGAGGAACTGAGTAGATGTTTGTTCCTCCCAGGATGTTCTCAGCTCCCAGGATGTTTCTTGTCCTGGAGAATCACAGACAGCATCACCGGATCACTGAGGTCTCAGTTGTGACCGGAGGCCAAAATGGAGTTATGTCTCAGAATTCCATAGCTGGGCTGTAGGCAAGAGAACTAGGCTAACCAAATGATTTTACCCTAAAATTATGTAGCATTGCTCCCGACAATGATGCTTCTGCAGACTTTTGTTTTGTTTTGTTTTTGGTACCGGGGATCGAACTCGGGACCTTGCGCTTGTGTGGCAGGTGCCGGAACCACTGAGCTAAATCCCTGGCCACCTCAGACTTTTATAAAACATTTATTATTTTAAAAAATTGAACTAGAATCTACTAATAAATACATCAAATGTATCATACACAGTGAATAAATGAATCAGTTTTAAATAGCTAACTCATCAAGATTTGCACTGGGATAATTCCAGTTATCCACATGAACAATCACACACACACACACACACATACTCACACACACTTTATATTGAGAGCTTACTATATGCCAGGAATTGTACTAAGTGTTTTGCAAATATTTTGCTGTGTAATACTCAACATATCCTTCAGAGATATTTTTAGCCCCATTTTCTTCAAGAGAGAACTGACAGGTTATACAACTTCCAGAAGGTCACACAGTTGGAAAAGAATGGGACAAGGATTTGAGCACAAAGTCCATCCTCTTCTGCACTAAACTTGCTATCAGTGTAACATAGAAAGGGAGTTCTCCAGGAACTTTCGGCGAACACGAGTTCCTTCCCAGAGAAATCTCACCCCTGGTGCCCCATATAATTCAGCTACCTGGACAGCAGTGTACACACCACCAACAGCCTCTCTCAGACCCATTTTTTTGCAGTTATGTAGATATCATTCCACTAAGGACAGATGCTTCTTAATCATATTCACCCAGCCCCCAAATTTCTCTGATTAACTCTATTTGTGCAGTGTCTCTGTTTTGACTGCTGAACTAAAGCCTTTGCAATTAGACCCAGTGCTTCTGAAATTGACATTTAGCATAAGTGAATTATCGGCAAAGCCAATACGATGTAGAAAGCATACAATTTAATTTGAATGAGCAGCTTTCCTTTCCTAGACTCACCCAGAGTGTATAGGGAAGTATCTCATTAGGATTTGATTCATATTAGACTAAGATCTAAAAATGTGTCACAGACTTAAAATTTATGTAAGGAGTGTGACTCAGCTCTCTTGTGGGAAATCTTGTTTTTAAATTTTTTATAGAATTTATGATCCTCACGGGTACTTGTGCCTAGTTTGATCTTGGCAACAGAACCTATTTTAATTGTATTCAGGAAGCACAGACTTATTGAGTGCCTGCTATTTATCAGGCAGTAAGAGAGACACCAAGAGAAATAAGCTGCCCTTGGACTTAAGCAGCTTCTTTTTGTATACTAGTTATGGACCAGTAGAGGAAATTTTGTTAATGAAGTAACAAACCTTTTTTGGAAAAGACTACAACAGGTGATTTGAACATCATGTCTAAATAGATTTCGGATGCACTTGAACATATTGAAAGCCCTTGAAATTAATAGCTAATTGGATGAATTATTTTATTAACCCTATTTCATTTTTAGCCTTCACTGACAGGAAGCCCAGAATTTGTTGCCTGGATTTAGCATCCCTCTTGGGCCCTATAGCGTACATACGTAACTACATGTTAACCATTCCAGTGGTTTTCTGTCTTTTTGAAGGACCTGGTTTTATAATGAATAACTTTTCATTTTTATTCTATATAATATGGAAATATAAACATATATAATGTAAGTTTTATTAAATAGCTATAAAGCACTTTGAATCCTTTGTGGAATAAGATCATATCATTCATTCATTCATTCAGAGTTATTGAGAAAGTGACTTAAAGAACAAACTTATATAGCCTTGATATTAGGGGCTGGGTTGCAGTTGTCTCAGAACTACGTTGGTTGCAGCAGATTCTAAGCTTACAAGGCTTAAGCAAAAAGAGGATGTGACTGACTGAAAAGTTCACAGCTTATTTGCTTTAGGTACAGCTGGAACCAGGTGCTTTGATGATTTTTTCATGAAATTTTCTCTTCATCTCTCCGCTTGCTTGGCTCTGGGCTGGCATCATCCTTAGTTCCATTAGGTGGTCCTGGAACTTCCAGATTTGCCTCATCCTTTCTGCTTGTAGTTTTGTGCATCCAAAGTGCCTTTCTTGTGTCATATCTGTCAGAATCCAGGGATTGGCTCTCATTGGACCTATGGTGCTCACTTCTGGATCAGTAATGGTGGCCAAAGAGATGACCTGTCCCACTCAACTAGGCCTGGCTCAGATGACCCATCCTGCAACTGGGGTGGGGTAGTCTCATCCAAGTGCATGGACAGAAAGGAGAGGAGAGTGACTCCTTACAGAAAACTGGTGCTGTCATAGAAGAGAGGAGAGTGGATGTTGGGCAAGTAAACCAACAGTGTTGGGTCCATCTGCCTGTGGCCTAGTTAGCTAAATGAATATGGCCTGAAGAAGTAAGAGATGAACTCAGAAGCTACAGGCCCCTGGTAGTAAGGGGGTGACGGGAAAGTGTCTCCCTGAAGGGGGATAGGGCATGACTTTGAGGGACCAGTGCTGTGAACTTGATCTTAAGCCTGTGGACCGTGTATTTTTAGAGCTTGCATAGGCACCAGGAATGATCAGTTTTCTTAGCTGCAAAAACCTAAGTATATTAAAGGAGATAAAAGTGAATGGAGAGGTAGACTGTGTTCGTGGACTGGAAGACTTAAAATGATTAAAATGCCAGTATTACCCAATGCAGTCTGCAAATTTAATGTTATCCCTATCAAAATCCCAGGGATTTTATTTAAAGAAGTAGAGAAATTCATTCTAAAATTCAAATAGAATCTCAAGAGACCTTCAACCAAAGCAATCTTGGAAAAAAAAGAACAAAGTTGGGAGGTTTCACGCTTTCTGATTTCAAAGATGAATACAAGGCTATGGCCATCAAAACAATGTGGTACCCACACATAGCTGGGCATACAGGCCAATGGAGCAAAACACAGAGCCCAGAAATAAACCATCTCTTATGAGGTCATATGGTAAGAGTGCCAAAGCTATCCAACAGGAGAAGGAAAGGCTTTTCAACAAATTGGAAACACTGGATGGCAACATGAAAAAAGAATGAAGCTGGACCCTTACCTAACATCATTTACCAAAATTAACTCAAAATGGATGAAGGACTAAAACTATAGGACTCTTAGAACATTAACAAAATTTTATTTGTTAGATATGCCAGTTTGTTGGATATTACACCAATAATAGCACAGGCAACAAAAGGGAAATAAATAAGTTGGACTTCATTAAAATTAAAACCTTTGTCCAACAAAATATACTATTAGCAGAGTGAAAATACACCTACTAAACGGATAAAAATATTTATAAATTACAAATCTGATAAGTGGTTGATATCCAAAACATATAAAGAACTCTTACAGCTTAACAATTAAAAAATAAATGATAATTAGATGTGGACAAAGGTCTTGGGTAGACATTTTTCAAAAAAATCTATATAGCCGATAAGGACATGAAAAGTTGCTCTACACTAGTAATCATTAAAGAAATATAAATTTTAAAAAAGATACCACTTCAGTTTACTATGATGGCCAGTCTCAAAAATAAAACAAAACAAAAACCAAAAAATAATAAAATGTTGGTGAGAATGTAAATTAGAATGCTTGTGAACTTCTAGTGGGAATGTCAAATGGTGCAGCCACTGTGGAAAGCAGTACGGTGCTTCCTCAGAAAAATTAGACATAGAACTACCTTATGATCCAGCAATTCTGTTTCTGAATATGTATGAAAAAGAGTTGAAACCCAGAACTCAAACAGGTATTTATATACCCGTACTCATAGCAGCGTTATTTGCAGTAGCCAAAAGGTGAAAGCAGCCCAAGCGTCCATCAATGTGTGAATGGATAAACAAATGTGATCTATACATGCAGTGTAATATTGTCCAACCTTTAAAAAGAAAAGCAATTCTAACACATGCTACAACATGAATGAACCTTGAGGACATTGTGCTAAGTGAAAAAAGCCAGTCGCAAAAAGACAAGTACTGTCTGCTTGCTCTTATAACATGTGAGTTGTACAATTAGTAAGTGATCTCAGCCAGGCTTGCTGGTACACACCTGTACTCCCAGCACTCTGTGAGCCTGAGGCAAATGATCACAAGTTTGAGCCCAGCCTGGGCAACTTGATGACTTAGCAAGACCCAATCTCAAAATAATAATAATAAAAAAATTAAAAAGAGCTAGGAATGTAGCTCAGTGTAGAGGCCCTGGGTTCAATCATCAGTACTGAAAAAAAAAAAGTGATTTCATTCCTAATAGTCATCTAGAAAGTAGCGTGGTGGTTGTTAGGGCTTGGGAGGAGGGCAACCTTAGGAGTTGTCTAACGAGTACAGCCTGGGTTTGGGATAATGAAAAAGTTCTGATGATTGATGTTGGTGATGGTTGTACAATAGTGCGAATGTGCTTAATGCCACAGAACTGTATACTTCAAAATAGTTCAAATAGTAAATTTTGTTTCACAGATTTTTGCCACAACAAAAAAGTATCATTTATGGGGCCAAATGTGCTGTCCACAGAGGTGTTCCATACTGCAAGCTTTACAGGCGTTTTGGAGATCCAAAGAGATTTCGTTTTGTTGAAAGTGGAAAATAGAACATTCAGAGAGATAAAGTTTGAAAAGTTCTTATTACGTCGCATTGTTGGGTATGGAACATCAGGTCTTTCACATACTAGGCAAATGCTCTTCCACAGAAGTGTATCTCCAATCCTAAAAAGTTATCTTTTAAGCTATTATTTAGTTTACTTTTGTTTTTTTTCCTAGTACCAGAGATCAAACTCAGGATGCAAGGTAGGCACGGAGCCACTGAGCTAAATTTCCAGCCCTATTTAGTTTTTTTTTAGGTGGCGGGATGGTGAGGTCTTTTGAATTGTTCAGAAATGAGCGCCCCTCTTCTTGGTACTTTGGGACAGAGCCCTGAATCCCTGTGGCTAAGCCACATTCCAGAAATACTTCCGAGAGAGGAGAGAAAGAGTTGAGCAGAAGGTTGAGTTGGTCTGTCATTCATGTCATTCATCCTGCGACTATGGCTCTGGGTTAGAGAATTGGAAGAGAGCAGCTACAGGTGGGAAAAAGTCAGGTTTGAGAGGGATGTTGTGGGAATGGGATTCTGATGACAAAGGTCTGAGCGAGCCTGGGAGGCAGTCAGCCCCCCACTGGAAAGACAGGATGCACTCGAAGGTAATTTGAGGAGAGTTCCATGAAAGGCACCGTTTTGTGAAACTATGCATGGGGACAGTGTAGTACCCGGGGCAGCAACCCCTGGGGCCTGTGACCCTGCAGGGAGGGGGACCTGGTACTGATCCCCTGATCTCCCTCCCACCTTAGCTCTATGTCTGCAGAACTATCTTTATCTGAAGCCAGCAGGAAAGGAGCCATGGGGTGCGTGACCCCCAGGGGTCTGCCTCGCAGGACATAGAGCAGGGTGGGTGACAGCAGATCAGGGTGTGGGAGAGGGAAAATACCCTGCATAGAACACTGCAAAAATACCTCACTAAGGCAATGACTTCCTCCTGCATGTGTTCTTAAAATCTCATCTGGGGGATATTTTTGTCCATACATTGACCCAGAAAACCTCATTTTCCTGCAACTAAAGAATGGAATTAGACAAAACGTGAGAAGAAAACCGTGTCACTTCATAGAAATTTTTAAAGCACGTTCTATATTAAATTACTAGACTGCAAGGAAATGCAATTTTTTCAGAGAACATATTTTGTATTTCTGAATTCCTTTTATCATCGGTTTCTTTTCCCTGCCCATGATAAGGCAGATGATCAAGTCTGTACACTGTACATTGTTGCTTCTTTCAACCTCAAAATTCCTTAGGGATTTGACTCAGTGTTCTGAGTAGCTGAGCCCTCTTTAAACTTAACATTCCTATGCTCTGTTTTATATTTTCAAAATAATAAAACTCCTTGACACAGCTTAAGCCCTCAGAAAGATATACTGGTGGTTAAGAGCCTGAAGCCAGATGACCCTGGTTCAAATCCTGACAGTGACTTAGGAGTTGTCTGACCTTGGACAGATCCCTTTATCACTCTGGGCCTTGGTTTCCTCATCTGTAGAAGGAAGTCATAGCCTGACACAGGACCTCGTGTGGTGTTGAGGATTAAGTAAGAAGCTATGCCCTAGCAGAAAGCTTGGCACACAGTCTGCAGCCAGGAAATGGTGACTGTTGTTATCCTTGTCTCTTCCTTGCTGTTTTCCCAGCCACGCTTTCATCCCTACCCTCACCTTCTGCTTAGACTTCACCTCTCACAGCCTCTGTGAAACACACCATCCTCTTACTTGGCATGTCTCCCTCCCCTCTCCTCCTGTGTCAATTCAGATCGTGAGCACATCCAACGCCTCCCAGACCGTCACCTTGGTGTATGTTGTGAGCAATCAGAGCACATTCCTCAATGGCACTGTGGCCAGCAGCCTCCTGAGCCAGCTCTCTGCCGAGCTGGTGGGATTCTACCTCACCTACCCACCGCTCACCATTGCTGAACGTGAGTACGTCCGCGGTGAAGCAGAACTCTGTCGTCCTAGGCCACATGCGACCCCTGTTATAATAAAATGACAGCTGAAAAATGTGCTGGCTGGAGGTTGAATCAATGAAAAGTATATTGCATATTGTAGGAAAGCACTTGTGAGGTAACATTACCCTTCTTCTGTCTCTTATCTCTTTGAGTCCTCACAACCATCCTAAAAGATGGGTGCAAACTTAGAAAACTTAGGGTTCACAAGATACCCACTCTCCCATAGCCAGTGGGACAGGGGACCTGGAGTGTGAACCCCAGCAATCTGCCCTGGGAGCCTACAGTGCTGCCGTGAGGGCATCTCTCCCTGGGGAAAATCTAGGTTTCCATGGTGTCCTGCCACTCTTGCCATTAACCGATGTTCCCATACCTCCCAGCCCAGCCCTGACTATAGATACCACGGTGCAACCCGTTTGCAGTCGGCATCATGACTTCACTTGATGAAGTCCACATAGTCTGTGGCCTCCTCATCTCCCTCTAATGCTTCAGTTACATAATCCTCATTACCATGCAGTATGCATAGACTTCCAAGACAATGCAGTCTACTTTTTGTCCCCAAATACTTACTTGGTAGCCAAAGGAAGCAAAGGTCGATCGATATTCCTAAATTTAATCAGTCTTACATTTTACAGAGTCACTGGACAAGACTTTTTAAAGGCACACCTTAACAAAATTGTTCCTTCTATAGTTGTTTTTGATGCTATAAATAGATGAGACTATGTATAAATGGGATATTTAGCACATATTAGCCACTGATAATTTTTTGAATATTTATTGGCAAGTTTTTGTAGATTTCCATGTATGACATCATCTGGAAAAGATGATGTCATAAAATAGTGGCATTATGTCCCATGGGAGCATGTGAAGAATTTATTCTTTTGATCTTGCAATAGCCTGATGATAATCACAGATAAGATTTACCGAGCACTAACTATATCTCAGACACCATCCCAAGTCCTTTGCATGTATGATCTCTCATAGTCACCATCCTTGTAATGCTATATGAGACATATTGGTACAAGTATTTGGCTGCTAAATTTAAGCCCCTGACATTGGAAGAATCCATTGTCATTGAGATAATCATTCCTAATGACTTTAGTGATGGTTGGATAATTTTTAAAGATAAAGCTCCAGCTAAGACAGGTTGGAGGTGTGGGTTTTTATAATGAGGTTCTTTCTATTTAAGAAGATTTGGATGGAAAACCTAAAAGAGCAGAAACCCACAAACCCTAAAAGTGCTTCATCAGAAGGTTGACCTTTTACTGAGTGTTTTGGTTTTCTGAACAGCGAGATGGTTCGACCTTATCTCATAAAGTTCACAAGAATGACAAAGCAGGATTTAGCGGCTCGCCAGCTTGTCAGTTCTATGTTCCAGTTAATAATAATATTTACATAAAAAACCTATAAAAGTAATTTGATGTGTTTCTTGTTCCTTTTAGCACTGGAATATCCCAATCTTGATATATCAGAAACAACCAGAGACTATTGGGTAATTACAGGTAATCTCTTCTTTTCTTCCCCCTTATAAGCAGGTTGCTTTGTTTTAAAACTGTGCTTTTCGGTGACCCAAGGACACTTTCCTTTGGTCTGTCTTATAAGTAAGGAGTTCCTTCTACAGGACTGGAAGTGAGTAGATTCAGCTAAGAAAAGAAATCACACTGAAGATGATTATTAAATAAACAATTCAAAAGTATTACTTTTCTTTTCTTATGGTACTGAGGATTGAACCCAGGGGCTTTGCACTAAGCTACAAACCCAGCCCTTTTAAAATTTTTTTATCTTGAGACAGGGTCTTGCTAAGTTGGCTAAGCTCAAACTTGCAATCTCATGCCTCAGCCTCCCAGAGTTTGGGATCGCCGGCATGTGGCAGCATGTCTGGCTACAACTGCTGCCTTTAAAGTCCCCACCCAGCAGCCTCCTCTTGCAAAAAGCAGACCTATAAGTAGAAGGGACAGCACAGACCTGTGAAGGGTTATGTTTCCAGATGGCAGGCTTTTCTGTACTATCCTACAAAAACCCAGTGCCACTCAGGGGAACACTGGACACACAGGTCTCCATCTCTCTGGCTCTAGTCCCACCCCATGCTAATCCCAGCGAGTCCCAATGGGGCGGGTGGTGGAAGAACAAGGGGATTTTGGTGGTGTTTCCTTTTTTCCTTGACATTTTGCAGCTGAACTTCATTAAACAGCAAAAATGTTCTGTTTATGTTTTTCCGAAGCCAGACAGTGACTCTGAAAGTGAGAACAACAGGGATTAAATGTGAAAGGAGAGGACAGATGTTTGTAGGAGGAAAAGCGACCGGGGAGCAGGTTGGCTAGGAGAGTAAATGAGTCTACAGCCCATGCTGGAGGTTTAAACCACAAAAAGTTACTTCCTTACAGTTCTGGTGGCCAGGATCTGAGAGCAAAATGCCTACAGATTGTTTTCTCTGGGCTCCTCCTCTGGGCTTGGAGAGAGTCATCTCCTGGCGTCTTCCCATGGTCTTCTGGGAAGACCTCTGGGCCTGTCAGGTTCTTATTTCCTGTTCTCATGAAGACAGCAGACATGTTGGGTTAGAGCCCACCCTCATGACCTCATTTTAACTTTGTCACCTCCTCAAAGACCCTGTCTCCAAATACAGTCACATTCTGAGAAACGGAATTTGAGGGGCACAACTCAGCCTGTCATAAGGAGGGAGGGAGGTCCTTCCAGGCAGGGAAGGTGTTCCTGAGCAAGGAGGCTGGTCTCAAGCTCCCTTCTTCCCTGTCCCATCCCTCCCTCCCTTGCTGTCCCAAACAAGTGGCAGATGGGCTGCTGCCTAAAATGCCAAGTAAGGGCCACAGAGGCCTGCTGGATGAGGCCTGCTGGAGAATCTCTTCTAAAGTGTGGAGAATTGAATTTTTCTCTCTCCTGAAGAACCCTCCAATATGCAGAGATTATTTTACCTACTAAGAAAGCAAGCTAGAGAAACACATTTTAAAACAAAAACTTAAAATCAGCCTACCCAGGTTTATGCCCAAGAGAGACAGTGCTAACCCAGCAACACATTTTTGGAGCTAGCGGGTTATGTAACATTCACAGTCAGGTTTCTTCCTCAAGGAACGGCGTTCCTTCACTGGCAGATACTTCTCCCTCCCTTCAGCTTTGAGGTTTTCACTCTCGCATTACAGTTTTGCTCTTAAACTCAAGCTGTCCTTGACAGCTGCTGTGTAGTCCCCTCCTCATTTGCTCTACCTCCATTTCAAGATCACCTTAAGAGAAAGCTCTGTACATTGTCCTGTTTTCAGGGCTCCCCTGGGACCCCCCGCCCGACCGTGCCCACCTACTTACATAACCCTTGACATCATGCTGTGTCTGCAGTTGGAGATCAGAGAGGGGTGGTCCCCATACAGTGCTGGAGCTGCTTGGATCAATTGGGTAGCACTTGGGACAGGCTAGAACCAGGTTTCAGGGTACCCCTCTGCCTTCCCTTGGGCTCATGGCCACTTGCTGAACGTGTGGGGAGCCACCACCAGCTGCCCCATGGTTCACAAAAGGGGCTGGAGACTAGGAGCTGAGAGATGAGATAGCTTCATTAAGCCTTTACTCCCGACCATTGTCAGAGTCTCTAGCTTCTGCTCATTGCTAACTGCAAACAGGACTTGGAGCAACTTCCCTTTCTACAGTTTGTATTTTAAACCCCTACATGTTTTTATCTATTTTCCAACTTAACTGACAGTAATTGTTTTGTTGGGTCCATCCTAGAGGATGGATCCCTCAGTGGAAAACCACTGGCTTGGGGTGACCTCTGTGGCCCTCTTCCCCTGCTTTTTGTGATACTGGGGATTGAAGTCAGGGTCTTTGTACTGCGCTACATCCCTGGCCTATTTTTAATTTTTATTTTGAGACAGTGTCTCATTAAGTTGCCAAGTTTCCCAGGCTGGGCTCCAACTTGCATGCTTCCTGCCTCAGCCTCTTAGAGTGCTGGGATTGCAGGTGTGCGCCACCAGCCTGTAGTCCCTCTTTACGGAGAACCTGGGGGCTTCCTGCCTTCCAGGACCTACAGTTGCATTTGTATATATGAAGCAAGATAGAAACATCCAGGTTCAGATTTTATATGATGTCTACCTTTGCATCGTGGCCGAGAGTCCCATCAAATAGTCCATGAGCTGCCCCTTGACTGTCCTGTGTCCCCTCTCAGTCTCATCCACTCGTCAACAGAAGCCAACTTAGATGTAATACTTCAACAGATTGGTCTGTAATTTTATTAGAAGTGAGTATCTTGGAGCAAGGAGTTCATGGGCTTTTCTATCCTCCAGATATCTGGGCGACAGGAATGTCCCACTCAGGGACCTGACACAGTGGGAATAAAACAGCAGTACTTTGTCTTTGTTTGCAGGGATTTCAACTGACAGATAAGCTAGAAATCTCTCACAAGGGCCTTAGAAAGACAGCCACTTTATACCCTCCAGGAGGGATTATTTGGCATTTATGGCTTCAAAGAAGTAATTTCGAAGACCCAGCTGTGGGTTTTACTTCTCTCTTGATCTGTTTCAACATCATTCTCCTATCTCATTGTTGTTGGTTGCTTGGTCTGGCCCCGTGTAGAATGTGGTCATTAGTGTTGGTTATGGGCAGCACCCCGCTGTACTGGATGCTATAAAGACAGCACGCTCTTTACACACAGACACTTTCCATATCCTGATGGAGGGGTGGCATCAATGATCCTTGGCTGGACTGTGGTAGAACAAACTCTATTAAATGAAAACTCTTCTTTTGCATTTCCACCCCTGTAAGATTTGGTCTCTTGAAGAAAATGATTGTCTTTCTTAGCATTTAAAATTTTTGGTATTACTGTGTTTGAAGGCAGTATATATGTGTTTGGAGTAAAGTGTGCTTCCCAAGGGGCAAAGAGCAAAGACTAGACTTTGGGGTAGATGGGAAAAGATGCCTTCCTCCATAGAAAGTGACCACAGCAATCCTAGAATGGCCCTAGAGCCCATTAAACCCTTCTTCATGTACTAGCCCTGGTCTGAAGCTCCAGCATCAATCCCTTAATGTTGATTGCAGATTCTCTGAAGCCTAGCAGTGGAGGAGGGATGGGAAACAAACCACATTTACCTTCCGTGCCCTAGGCACAGTGCTGAGCTGCTTTATATCACCTGGAGCCCATTGGAAATGTTCGCTGTGATAGTCACTGTCTTACTCCCTTTTGACGAAGAAGGACTAGCACTCAGAGGTGGCTAGTGGTTTGCCAAAAGCCCCATAGCTGGCAAGGGCAAGAGCTGAGAGCAAGCCCACACTTTCCATTAGGCTGTTCCTGCTCTTCAGTGGGAGGGGACTGGAGGGACCCTGGGCACCTTTAGGACTGGGCACCAAAAGAACTGCTCAGAGGAGGGAGAGATGAGGACACTGAGCAGAATGGATTTCTGAGATGTAAGACATTTGAGTTGCAGAATATAGCTGAGATTCCTCAGCAAAGCTGTTGAGAAAGAAAACTAAAATCAGGGTAACCCTCAGCCATTGCTTTGGAGTGGGAACCAGCCAATTCACTGTTCCTGCAGCTCTGCTGTGTTCCCATGTGGACTTTTAGCAGCACATATCGTCTTAAAGAAACTTCAGGTTTGTTACAGCAGTGTTAGAGAGGTCACAGCTCTTAGAGGAAATTGCCCAGACTTTGGAGTTACACAGGCTTGGGCTTACATCCTGACTCTTAGATAAGTCCCTTAAGCTTTTCAGCATCTGGAACCTGTGGATGATGATTTCTAACTCCTGAGCTGTTGTGAAGGTGAAGTGAGGTAAGGACACCCAAGCCAAACAGGAGGCGGGGCAGTGGCCCTTAGTGGCCACGAAGGGCAAGTGGTTGTTGTGGTCACTAAGTCAGCAAGGAATCTGGCCACTGAGCATCCCTTCTGCCTTTTGCACCCCTAGTGCTGCAGGGTGTGGACAACTCCCTTGTGGGCCTGCACAACCAGAGCTTTGCCCGAGTCATGGAGCAGCGCCTCGCCCAGCTGTTCATGATGTCCCAGCAACAAGGCCGGCGGTTTAAACGGGCCACCACCCTGGGAAGCTACACTGTGCAGGTAGGTGTGTGCGGTGCCATTGTGGGGGGTACTTTCCTAATGACTGGGGATCCTGAGGTGAAAGAAATACATGTGAATGGAGGAGCATCCTGGCTGCACTGGATAAAGTTTCGGAGGATGAGGGTCATTACCATCCTCCTATATTATCAATAAGAAAGGAGGTCCCCAAACAGATTCTGCAAACCTTCAGATATTTATAAAATGAAAAGTTCTGCTGTCCATATTTAGCCAATTAAAACACAGAGCCTCCAAGCTTGTGGTAGATGTGTGACCACTTAGCGATTTAGAGAGGGGATGGGACAGGCACTCGTGTTCCTCCACCCATCCCCTCTCAGTATTTCTGAGCATGCCAGCTGGAATTGCAACACCAGCCCTTGAATCTGTCCTGCAGAGCTGCTCTTGAAAAACTGGAAGCCACTTTGCCCAAGTTCTGGTGCCTGGAAGGACCTGGGAATAAACCAGTGGTGGGAGAACAAATATCTCTGTTTCCTTCCCTCTCCACTAGGGAAATTCTGAAATGTATCTTCAAGATCATTTCCAGAGCTTTCCCACAAAAGTAAGTTCCAGTCACCCAGTGCAGGCTTAATAGACTCTTCTCACCTATGTATTAGCCCCTCACCCATCTTTCTGTTCCTCACCCCTCTCAAACTACAAGCACTCACCTCTTTTCTGGGTTTACTTCTGAGGAAACCCACTCAAGGCAGTCAGTAGCACCCATGCCCACTGAAGCAGTTCTAAGACTCACTAGATACTTCACTCAGCTCTAGCACGAGTGGGAATGTCTTGGATATTCTAACCAATCCACATATTTTGAATACCACTGACTTCACCAATGAGAACTCACCTCTCATTGTTATGCTAATTACCAGAGTACTCAATAGTTACCCTGGGAGTGTGGGCTTCCTTATTGAACAGTCTAGCTGGCTGCCCTGGCATGTGAACTCCTGCCTGGTGATTGACCATGGCTAGCACACATGCAATCTCAAAGTCAAACACTGTCTTCTCTCCCTGCATGAGTCAGCATCGTGCCCCTGATAGGCACTCTAGGTCCCCTTATTCATGGTTGTGAATTTGGCCCCTTGTCCTATTGGATTTTGCTTTGCTGTGGTTCTGTAAGTCTTTGTGGTGCCTGACAACCTCATCACAAGGTAAAGGGATGGTTATTTTCATGTGTCAGGTTTATAATTTCTCCTTTATGCGTTCCATGCAAGTTCTATAATTCACACTTCTCTGAAAGACAGAAAGGAAATCACTGGTGCTCAGATGACTGGGATTTGCACCAGCTGAAAGGGAAGAAAGGCTCATCCTATAATTCTGGTGTTTCTTGTAACCCTAAGCAACCTAACACATTCTGCATGTCTAAATGGGCCCAGAGAGATGTTTTCTCTCATTTTTTTCCCTAAGTGCTCAGTTCACCTGTCCCTGTAGCTGACTGGAGAGTCAGAGTGAAGCAAGTGGTTTATTTTTGTAAATCTCCAATTTACAGAGGCTTTAGATGGCCTCTGGCATCACCTTTGGAAAAATCCTGCTAAGAAGAATTTGCTGTTAAATTGAAATTAAGTGGATTCAGTAAAATATCTGAATGATGAGTCTCCCCTTCCTGGTTGTATTAACACTCTCCCGCCTCCTTTCCCACTAGGGAAAGGGAAAACATGCCCAAGTTTCCCTCTCAAAATTCACTCTAGAATAGCTTCTACCTTCCTTCCACCCAGAGACTTTTCTTCTGGGCTCAGAAAATTTTAAAAGATGAATTTCCTTCATGAATATGGAGATGTAGGTGTCTAGAATTTAAACATTTTTCTCAAGTTGATCTGATTGGAAAATTGAGTCCTAAGAAGACATTGTCCGACCTGTAAACATTTTTAAATTTTTGAGTGCATCCATAGTCAACTTAATGGAAGTTTTAACTACCATTTGGGTGCCATTGTTGCCTACTAAAGATAAGTAAAATGATACTATCCAGGGGCCGGGGATTTAGCTCAGTGGTTTCGCTGCCTGCTGTGCAAGTGCAAAGACCCGAGTTCGATCCCCAGTACCAAAAAAATAAAAGATACTATCCAGTGTGGATAGGGGTGAATGGACACTTTCAAACAGAGAAACTAATGTGAACTTTCTGGAAGGCAAGTGAATAATTTAGACAAGAACTTTTAGATGGTTACAACTTTCTCTTGAGGAGATAGGGGTGAACACAAAGACAAAGGGTAGGGACAGTGTTTTCTAGAGAGGATCCAGCAAATGGATCTTTTGGGTTCTTGGCTTGGGCAGGGCCACATCCTATAAGTGTTTCTTGAAGATTCCCAAAGCATATTTGCATAAGCAAATTATAAGACAAACCCAAAGTAAAGAAATCTCCTTAATTTTGTTCAGCATACTGGTTTCCAAATCTAAATGTCAGCAAGACCCCTGTTTTTAGTGATATCTGTGTTACATTGTTTTATTATGAACATTTTCAAGCTTACAGAAAAATTGAAAGGAAAATTACATAGCAAATACCAACATACATACTATGTTTTTATTTTATAGAAATATCTATATTTGAGAACATATATCATTTCCTTACACTTCTGTATACTTTCCATAACATATTTCCATGTACTTCCAAATCATGGATTGATTTTGAAGTTCAAGTTACTTCATACATATGGAATACTTAATATATACTCTTATAAAAACTTTTTGTGACTCAGTACTGCAGTGTTCTTGAGATTCATCCATGTTGTGTTATTTAGTAGTTTATTCATTTTTATTGCTGAATAGGCTCATAATATTCTCTTGTGTGAATATAATGCTGGTCATTTTTTGTTTGGGGGTTGTTTGTTTGTTTTGTGGTACTGGGGAAAAACCCAAGAGCACTCTACCACTGAGTTATATCTCTATCATTTTGTTTTGTTTTGAGACAGAGACTTGGTAAGTTGCTCGAGTTGGCCTCGAATTTGTAATCCTGCCGCCTCAGCCTCCTGAGTATCTGAGATTACTCAGGAGTGCTACTGTGCCCAGTTTATCTCTTCTTCTGAAAATAGATACAGGGGCTATTTCTAAACAAGACTACTATGCACATTTTTCTACATAGATCATTTTGGGGCCACATGCTTTCACCTCACTTGGGTATATAGGCTTCATAGGGCTGGTATATGTTATCCCTATATGAAACTACCAGATCTCTTCCCAATGTGATGATATTATCTTACAATCCACCAACCAGACATAGGGTTCCATTTGCTTCACATACTTATCAACAAACACATGGCATTGTCAGTCTTTCTTATTTTAGCCATCCTGGTAGGTAGACATTGATGACACATAATTTTAATTTGAATATCCCCACTAAACATGTTTTGTGTGCTTACTAGGTATTCAGATATCTTTATTAAGTGTTTGATCTCTTGCCCATTTTTATTGTGTTATACTAATATCTCCTTTTCAGTTTCAATTTTCAATTCAATATATATGTATTTATTCAACAGAATGTATATATATTTAAATTCAACAGAATGTAAAAACTATGTGTGGTATGTGGTTTAAAGTACACTAATAAAAAGGAGTCACAACCCAAAAGGCAAGAACATCACCTGCACCTTATCCCCAAAAGCTTTTTTTTTTTTTTTTTGCTTAAATTCTTTTATTGGTACATTTTAGGTATACAGTATGTTTACATTTATCACTGGGTGCTTGTACCTGTACATGATGTATCTTGGTTCTTATTTTTTCCCCATTACCTGTGCTCCCTTCACCCCCTCCACCCTTCCCTATTTACAAACACTTTATTTCCATTTTTTCCTTTTCTCATAATTTTTCCTTTCCCTTCTTACCTTTCCCCTTCCCCTCCCACTTCTCCTACCCCATTGGACCTTTTCTTCCTATTTCAAAGTATCAATTATTAGTTATTAATCCTTTTAATCCTTATTTACACTTTCAGTTTCTCACACCAGAGAAACTATTCGGTATTTACACGTGTGTCCTATTTATTTCACTTAAGAGTATGGCCCCAATATGCACCCATTTAGTTATAAATGACTCTAGTTTCTCATTCTTTATGGCTGAGTAGTACTCCATTTTATAAAAAAAAACACATCTTCTTCATCCAGTTTCCAGTTGATGGGCTCTTGGGCTGTTTCCAAGCTTTAGCTATTACAAACTCTGCCACTATAAACATGGGTGCACATATATTGCTGTGGTATGATTCTTTTAATTCTTCCCAAAAGCTTTTTATATATCTTCTTTGATTGTACTTCTTTCCCTCCCATCAGAGTTGAGTGTGATTCTAAATTTTGTATTAAATCACTCCTGTATTTCCTATATATGTTTTATCATCCATAGGTGTATCCTTATATAGTATGTCAGATAGTTTTGCCAATTTTGAATTTTATATTCCATGATTTGTTCCTGTTGTTCAACATCAGGCTTTTGTATTCATCCACATTGATACAAAATAGCCATAGTTCATAGTTCATTCATTTTCACTACCCTACAGTATTTCATTGTGTGACCACACCGTTACTCATTTATTCAGACTACTTTTAATGACTTTTGAACTTTCAGAGCTTTTTTTTTGCTATTGTAAACAAAATTGCTATAAACATTTTTGTAACATCTTTTAATATTCTATGAAACTAAAAATCTGAAATATATACTGTACTTTGAACAATACAATATTATACTGTGTTAGTTGTTAATGATAAGAATAAAAAGTTAATAACCTAAATGCTCAGATCATAAAGGGATAGTTAAATTTACAAGGCATGCATATAGTAGAACACTATATAGGTGTTAAAATTTCATTTATTTATTTATTTATTTATGGTATTGGGAATCGAACTCGAGTCCTTGTGCTTGCACAGCAGGTAGTGAAACCACTGAGCTAAATCCCTGACCCTAAAAATTTATTTTTATATTTGTGTTTATCCACTATTAAATATAAGAGTGAAAATTAGAAACAATGTGAATGTTTAATAATTTAGCATTCATTAAATAAATTTGTGAAGTAGGCATTTGAATACCATATAGAAGTAAATATTAATGCTTTTTTGAAATATTTATGCTTTTAAAATAAATATTTGAGGTCATTTAAAGATGCAAAAAAATTAGCAAGATATATTATATAGACAATATGAGAAATAATTTTGTAAAATTACAAAGGAAAGGTTTCTGTGGCAAGAAAACAACCACTACAAGGAAATATTCCAGACATAACAGTAATTAGCTGTAGTAAAAGCATTATAGATTATTTTTATTTTATTTCATTTCTTGGTGCTTTTCTATATTTTCAAATCTTCCTGAATATGTATAATTTTTATAATGTGGAAATACAGTACTACTTTAGAAGACAAACTTAGAGTTTCCAAGCGCTGCCATTGTCAGTGATCTTTTTTGTTTGTTTGTTTTTTGGTTTTTTTTGGTACCGGGGATCGAACTCGAGACCTTGTGCTTTAGAGGCAGGCACCGGAACCACTGAGCTAATCCCCAGCCCTGTCAGTGATCTTTTGAATTGCAGATGTATAGGTTAATTTTCTTTTTCCTTTCTGGCAACTGCAGACTTTAAAATTAAAAATCTTGTTTGAGAATAACCTAGCATGCCCTGAATTAATGTAGAAGCCCATTTTCAAATGAGGTCAGAGCTCCTTGGGGCCTGAGAAACATTCCCACTCCGTGTTTTCATCTCCGACTTCAAACTATGCTTTCCAGATGTTCATATTTTTCAAAACCTGTTTTCGTCCCTCCATCTCCCTCTCCAGTGACAGCAGGCTTCCAGAGGTTGGTTACAGGAAGGGCCCTAAAGGTTGATGTCTAGCCTATGTGGTGTGGGTCCACTTAGCCACAGACCACTTCAGCAGGAGCCCAGAGCCTGCTGATGGCCCTGGGGCTGCTGGGCTGGTACAAGATGTCAACACTGAGCCTCTCTTTTTCTGAAAGATGGTAAGGATGCAGCGTGTGCCGGGACCCAAGGACCCAGCGGAGCTGACTTACTACACCCTGTACAATGGGAAGCCATTGCTGGGGACTGCGGCAGCCAAGATCCTGAGCACCATTGACTCCCAAAGAATGGCCCTGACCCTGCACCATGTTGTCCTTCTACAAGCTGACCGTAAGGGGACAGTCTTCATTCCGTGTTTTTAAAGCCATTAAATTTCCTTTGAGTCTAAGTGATTCTCCCAACTCATGTTAATGGTGTCAGAGTTAAACATTTTTCTGCTCTAGAAGATTCTTAAATCGATAGCTATGTTTTCTGTGTTGTATAAAGCAATAGGTTTTGGGTATAAGATGTGGTTTGTAATATCCAAATTGCCTAATGATATCACTCTGCCCCCAAGTGCTACCGCTCTTACCCCACCCCAACTCTATAATCTAGTGAATAGCTATGAAAGATTGCTGCAGCTGAGATTATGTTTGTATGTCAGGGAAATGAAAGTTAATTTGATTCAATAGATATTTATAGAGTCTCCTATGAACTGTGCCTGGGGCTGGAGAACACACAGAAGCGACTGAGACCTGGCTCCTCCCTTTAAAGGGCTAGGGAGTTATTGCAGGTAGGAAAGAGGGTATTGCAGAAGAGGCCTGGCCAAGGCAGTTTGGCCCAGGGGCCAGCAGAGGTAGCTTTGCTTTGAAGGGCCATCCGGAATGAAGATACAGAGGACGAGATATCAAAAACAACTGCTGGCTCTGTGAGCACCCTCCCTGTGACAGCTCCTGTGGTACTTACTTCACCTAGATTTTCTCATCTTCCACTCTCATAAGAGCAGTGTTTATTTAGCTCTAAATTGAAGGAAAGGAAACTGAGTCTCAGAAGAATAAAATAACCTGCTCAACATCACAGAACTGGTACTTAGGTAGCCAAGATATCAGTCTGGGTCTGTCTGACTTCAGAGCTATGTTCTTACCTGTATTATACAGCTCAGCAGAGAGAGAAGAGGGTATGTGTTCCAGCAGAACAGCCTGAGCAGAGGAATGGAGAGAAGAAATACAAGGTGTGCTTAGAACACAAAGAGTTCACCAGGCTGGGATGAACAAACAGGTGGAGGAATTGGAATTAGAGAAATGTATTGATCAGGAGACTCAGTTCTTGAGTGGCAGGAAAAGGAGATGGTATATAATATGAGAATGATCAAAACTATAGTTCATGTTTAAATTTTTAAAAACTAGTACAGTAAAAGACACTCCCCTCACTTCAAATAGGACCCATCATTTTCTCAACAATTCTGGAAGTCCTCTTTTATAAATGTCTTCAGTTGTGTGGTCGTGGCTGTCTTGATGTCCTAAATCAATTCAAATGTTTACCTTTTATGGTCATTGTGACTTTGGGGAAGAGCCAGAAGTCACATGGTGCCAGATCCGGTGAATAAAGTAGATGAGAACACGTTGTAATGTTTTTATTAGCCTGCCTTTCTGTTGAATGGTACTCAGCACGTCTCTTTAAAGACATTCATTAAAAAGAACTTTGAGAACTGCTTCAGAAAGTGACAAAAACAATGGGATAAGTGTGTTCAAAGTGAGGGGCAATATTTTGAGGGAGACTGATAGCAGTGTGTCTTTTACTGTAATAACTTTTTAAAATTTAAACACACTGCATTTTTTGATCAGCCCTTGTATTTTGGGCTGTGGGGAGCTACTAAAGATTTCTGAGCAGAACAGTATCATTGGAAATTTAGGAAGGTTAATTGTGTCCAGGATGGGAGGAATCAGGAAGTGGCAGAACAAGTGAGGAAGCTTCGTGGTGTCCCAGGCTCTGGAGACCCAAACAAAGGCTGTAAAGAAAGTGGAGAAGGTGTGAGATGGTGTGTGGCAAAACGTTATTGTTTGGCAACATCCCGAGCATGGAAGGCCATGGAAGGTCACCTCTCCTGCATTTCCTAGTTGATGTCCATGCGGTTCAAGGAGCCGCAGGTTGGAGTCCACACCTGGCTCATGGTTTTCCTCTCTTCCCACTCTCTTGCCTTCATTAGGGACAATTTTTGCTTCCAGGTTGATGGTTCTGACCACATGTTGCCTGCTTGCCCAGCACATCCTCACAGACAGTCTCTGCCTAGGAATGATGCTGGCCACTCTCTGCAGACTTGTTTCTGAAATGACATTTTGAACTGATACTCCCTCCCTCTGGACTTCTCCCCTGCTCTCCTCATGGGCTCTGTGTTTATCTCTGATCTCTGTCAACTACTTGCTTCTTCTCTTTTGCTGCAATCTCTCTCTCTCCCTCTCTCTCTCCCTCTCCCCCCCCCATTGTAGAGGACAGGAGTGAAAAGCACTTTAGGTGCCAGGAGAGAGGTGAAGGCACTGGAGGTGGAGACTCAGAAGTGGATAGATTCAGGATATTTGGGTGGATGGAGCTGAGGACAAGATAATAGATTCTGTATGTGGCAGGAGGAGGAGCGTAGCGGTGGAGGAACCAAGGGTGACTTCCAGGTTTTGGCTTGAGCACAGTTTGTGGTGCCATCTCTTGAGATATAAAAGATGTGGGATGAAGAGGCTTCCTGAGGCTGGAATGGGAATATGGGAGATGGAATCGAGTCTGATTTTTGACATGTTAGATTGAAGGTACCTGTGAGGCATCACTGGAGCTCAGGAGAAGTGGACATGGCAGTCATCATTGCATAGATGATGCTTAGAGCTGAGGGGGTGGATGAGAATAACTAGGAGAGGAGCCTTTCTAGAGAGCAAAGGGTGGAATTAGGGCTTGGAACCATCTGCAGAAGAGCGAGAGCCAGCAGAGGACACTGAAAAGGAACAGCAAGGTGTAAGAGGAAAGCCAGGAAAGAGTGGGGCTCAGAAAGCAAGGAAGAAAGAAGCTCTTGCAGAAGGAAATGAACTGCTTTTGGAGAGGCAGGATAGGGATGGTTGGAAACCCATAGGATTGGTGAGGTGGAAGTTGGCGGTGACCTTTGAAGGAGGAATTTCCAGAATGAGTTTGGCTGAGAAGAGGATTGTGGTTGGGAAGTAGTGACATTCATTTCAAAATATGCTACTTAAAGGAAGCTGTGGAGTAATATTTTGGTGGAAAAGATTCACTCTTGTTCATTCCCTCAACAAATATTCATTAGGCACCTGTAGTATGCCATGCACTGCCCTAGGTGCTGGAGAGACAGCAATGAATCAGACTGACAAAGAAGTCCCTGCCCTCATGGTCCTAACATTCCTGGTAGGGCAGATTCAAGAAACGAAATAAGCAGTGTATTAGATGCTAGTAAGTACCATGAGGAAAGTGGGGCAGGGAAGGGCCGGGAACATTGAGGAGGCAGTGGTTGCAGTTTTAGATGGGAGAGGGGGTCAAGAAGAGAGTCAGTGAGGAAGTGAACAGCTGAGAGGAGGAAGGAAGGAAATGGTCCCTGCGGTACCTGCAGATTCCAGGCAGAGGAGAGTTTGAGACCCAGCAAGGGAGTGACTGAGCGGGCAGTGATAGGATGTCACAGGCAGAGATGAGGGCCATGATCCCTGAGCCTCATGGGTAGCACCAAGGGGGACAAAAGCCACCAGAGGGCTTGGGCAGGAGAAGAATGTGGACCAAGCACTTGACAGCTGCTGGGCCCTGGGCACTTTCTCCCTGGTGTCTGCTTCCTCCAGCTGTGGACTCTAATGTTTGAGACCTAATAGGTGCCGGCCACAAAAAGGAGCCAGAAACATTGTTGAGCAGATTCATCCTCCTTTCAATGTTTGCTCCACAGGAGAATAATTTATTCTGTGTTTGGATCTTTTGGGCCTTTGACTTCTTTCCTCTGGACAAATCCTCCTGTGTGCATGTGTAAACTCACACCTTCCATTCATGCGTGTAAACTTGGAAATGACATAAAACTTTGTTCTAGAAAAATGACTTTTCAAAAAAGTGTCCAACCTCTCCAGTATGGGGCTCGGTTTTGTCCACTGTGAATTCAGATGACAGCACTCTGGCCAAGGACCTGGGACTGGACCTAATACAGAATAAGTGCTCAGAGCATGTTGTCTTCCTTTCCTTTCTGTCCTCCCCTCAAACTCTTACAATTTAAATAGCCAGTTGTTAGGTTTGGATGACTTCAGTTGACCTAACTTTAATACCATTTTGACCGTTAAATGACTTTATTAATGTACAGAACGTAAATCTATTCTCTTACCTTTTAAAATAGAGGAGAAAGGACTTTACATACTGCACCTAGAAAAAAAACACATCCACCAAAACAATGAAACCGAGTAAAGGCAGAGCACATAAATACTTCATTCTTGCTAATGAAAAAATCATACATAATGTATTTACCTGAGATATAACTGAGACTCTATATATTTTTATCCATCATGATAGGATAGTCTGGCCAAAGAGGCATATTGATAGAATAAGTGTTTTCACTTATTCATAGAGGCTCTAAGCTATGAAAAATGTTAATGGCACAAATACTAATAGCAATTAAGTGTGTAATGTCAACAGAAACACATCATCTGTGGGCTGTTTTCAGAACTTAATAATGTGATTAATCACTGGTTGATAAAAGCTGTGGGAGTAGAAATTCTTTTGTACTGATAATATTCTGAGCCCAAGGGCAGCCAGATGACAGGCAGATCTTGGCTAACAAGGGACCAGTTGAAATCAGGAGGGGGCTGAAGGCAGAAAGGAGGCTGCTGGACCTTCGGACAATCCCTCTTCACGTGGCACTTAACAGTAGACTCTATATTTCTAAGTCTAAGTCCTGTGGGAGTTCGTTCTTATCATTTTGGAGGATGCCTTTCTTCATGGTACAGTATGTAAACTTCTTCCACCTCTGTTTAAATGGAGATAGAATAGACTTATCTTATGTACTTTAATAAATTCATTTGCTGGTCACAATATTAAAGTTAGGTCGGGCCGGAGATTTAGCTCAGTGGTTCTGCCTTCTGCCTTGCAAGTACAAGGATCTGAGTTCGATCCCCGGTACCAAAAATAATAAATAAATAAATAAAGTTAGGTCAGCTAAAGTCATTCAAACCCAGTGTATTAATTGGCACATGATCTAAAAGTACAAAGTCATATACAGAGGTGATCCTTCAGAATTCAGCAAGATCAGGAAGACCAAGTTATGCTAACCAGACTCACAAGAGATTGATACATACACTCTATTGTGAGTATATTAATTTAAATATGGACTAGAACAACTACACAGGTGGGATTTCTAATTTGTTGGTAGTCTGTCCTATTAGAAAATCTGTATGGGGAGCTAGATTGTAACAGGGATAGTGATAGTTCATGTGTGCATGCCTTTGATTTTTAATTTTACACCTATTATGTGCAAGACCCTATTAGGAACCATTACAGAGTCCTCACATCATCAGTGAGGAAAATTGGTAGACTCCATTTCCTCCTCTTAATACTAGATGGAGGATATTTTTATTGAGCCCTTACAAGGGCCCACACTAAAAATTACAAAGTGATACTCCCGTTTTACAGAGGAAGAAACTGACACTCAGAGAGCTCAAGTAACTTGCCCAAGGTCACTGGCTGCCGAGGCAGAGGCTTTCTGACCTTGAACACTCTTAACCTCCACTTCCATCTGTCTCATGACTTGGAGTTGGGGCGGGCGGATTCATCTAGGTTGCTTCCCTCTCCTTAGTGCTCCTTGTCACATGCTTCCTGCTGGCTCCTTCCCACAGCCGTGGTGAAGAACCCACCCAACAATCTGTGGATCATTGCCGCGGTCCTGGCGCCCATCGCTGTGGTCACGGTCATCATCATCATCATCACTGCCGTGCTCTGCAGGAAGAACAAGAACGACTTCAAGCCAGACACAATGATAAACCTGCCTCAGAGAGCAAAGGTATGCAGGAGTGCAGGGGGGTGAGGTGGGGGGAGGACTCAGGCCCGCAGGCCTTTTGTGCTGAGCTTCGGAGCCAACATCGGACCCTTCAGACAAGACCTCTTTTGTTTTGTTTTGTTTTTGGTACCGAGGCTCAAACTTGGGTCCTTGCACTTGCACAGCAGGCGGCGAAACCACTGAACTAAATTCCCGGCCCTGACAAGGCCTCTTTTGGAGGAGACCCTCTGTTTCATGATCAGAACCTGATAACTAATGCTTATCTGATACTCGCTCTTTGCCACATATGTTCCCAGGCAGTTCACGTGTAGCAACTCTCTAATCCTCACAGCACGCTTTTGAGGAAGGACCATTCTGTTACAGATGAAGAAACAGGCACAGAAAACTAGGACCCAGAGAGAACCGTAAGGATCTTAGAGACGATTTGATTGGCTTTCCTCCTTTTACACATGGAAAGTAACTCCTTCAAGCTCATGTGGTTTGTAAGTAGCAGAAGTAGTGGTAGAGCCAGGTCTGCTATGGTCAGAATGTTTGTGCCCTCCAAATTCGTATGCTGAAATTCTAATCCCCCAAGTGGTGGTATTAGGAGGGAGGTCTTTGGGAGATGATTAGTTCATAAGGATGGAGCCTCTGGGAATGAGATTAGTGCCCTTGGTAAATAAGCCCTGGACAGTTCTCTTGGTTCCTCCAAGAGAAGTAGGCAGTCTGCAGCCTGGCAGAGGACCCTGTCTTAGTCACATTCCTGTTACTGGGCACAATACCCAACACCTGCAGCTTAAAGGAGGAAAAGTATTTGGGCTCACAGCTCCTGTCCATGGATGGTGGCTACAAGGCAGAAACAGGATGGCAGGGGGCCATGTTGGACAAAGAGCTGCTCATATCATGGTGGCCAGGAAGAAGAGAGAGAAAGGAGATGCCAGGGAGGGAAATCTACCCTTCTAGGTCACACCTCTGGTGACCCCCCTCTTCTGACCAGACCCTGCCTCCTGACAGCATGTTCAGCTGTGAACTCTTCAGTGGATTAATCCAGTGATGAGGATAGTGCCCCCATGATCCAATTATTTTCCAGAAGTCTTACCTCTGAACACAAGAGACTTTTGGGGGACATCTTAGATCTAAACCGTAAGAAGTCTTCACCAGAGACCAACCACACTGGCACCTTGATCTTGGGTTTCCAGATTCCAGAGCTGTGAGAAATAACTGTCTGTTTTTTATAAGCCTACCTGTACATGGTATTTTGTTGTGGCAGCTCAATCTGACTATGATAAGGTCTTGGCTTCTAATGCAAGCCTCCTTTGGGCACACTGACTCCCAAATGTTCTGTGTTCTCTAACTGGAGAGGCTTATCTTCAGTGGCTGCCATGATGGACAAGCTACAGGGCCAGAGCAAGGTGGCTGCCGAAAAACAGATCCATGGCTGCCCTGAAGCCTGGTTTGAGCTCCTTTCTCCTTCTGTTGCCTGCACATCTCTATCCCATCCTCCTCTGGTGACTGGCAGGGCTGTGGACTGAGGAAACTCTGAGGCTAATTTTCCAGTCATGTAGCCACCTTTGTGATATTCCCCAAGAGAAATATCCTGACTGTAATACTTGGTGTTTAAATAATGCCTTACAATTTGCTGGGCTCTTCTAAATCTGTCACCTCGTTTATTCCTCACAGCAGCCCTGTGAGATAGGTCACAGAAAGGGCAAGTTTTATTATCCTCATTTAACTGCCAAGAAACCAGAGAGAGAAACGTTAGGATTTGTCCAGAGTCACACAACTAACAGAGACCTACACCTGAGTCTTTGTGGTCTTTCTTCATCCAACCCTGGGATTTGGGAGGAAGGGTCCTCTCCAAGCTCTGAACCTCTGATCTTCATCTACCTTTATAGAAATGAGGCAACAAACTACCGTCACCCATCATACCCATGGGACTCGGAGATTGTCCTTAGTGGGGTCATGCATCCATCCCTCCATTCCTTCTGTGCCATCACACCTCTGAGCAAAAGAAATCAAAGGGTTGTTATTGTTTATGAAACCCATACACCTGTTGGGAAGCTGAAGCTTGATTAGACATTCTGTCTGCTGAAAAGCCAAATCCCAGAGAATACTCTTGTACTTCTGTGGATGCAAAGGCACCTGCTTCTCAGACACAGCGGGATGTTGGTGGGAAAGGTACACTGGGACTTGCCAAGCAGCGTAAAAGGAAACTGTTCCAAGGAGGAACAGCTACCTTAGCTTGGTGACAACATAAGCCTGTCAGACATCACAAGTAATTACCAGAACCCAACTGCATCTGAGTCCAGGAATGAGAGCATGCCATACTGAGGTTGGATGTGGCATCTCTGTGCTATAGATTAAACTAAGGTCTTATTCTTTTGCCAAGATGAGTTGGGCAACACAAGATAATAGCATACCTTCAGGCTTGAAAGCTCTCTGGAGCTGGAATAGACGAAGTGTTTGTGGTTTCCCTAGCTCTCTTTGTGTGCCTGCCTCATCCATTGTGCTTCATGAGATATTTGGCTGATGTTATAAATCAAGCAAATCGATGTCCCGAGAGCTGATTGTAATCACTTGTATGCAGGGCTGCTGGTTGTCTTCCCACTCTGTGAGTCTGAATAAGGCATTTTGCCATTCAAAGCCTTTTGGTCACAAGGAACTAGCAAAGTAGTGGAATTGGCTATGTCCTGCAGCAGTCTTGCTGTTGCAAGCCAGGGACACTGCAGTGTCTGAGAGGAGAGAGTTGCTGCATCACTTCTCACGACTGTGTGTGTGATTGGAATTCAATGAATGTCAAGGGACAAGACAGAATGAAGAAGTTAGCTTTTGGCACCAATCCACAGAGTAGGTGGATGGCCCTGGGGACATCACTGCATCATTAGAATGCAGGCTACAGTGCTAGAGGAAGTCCTGGAGACCCCACTGACCCTCAGTAATAAACTTAACATGCTAAGCAGAGGAAATGACTGTGGCTTTCCTGGGAGCTGAGGCCAGGCATGGATCCTGCACCCATCTTCAGAGACCAGGTGCATAAACGAACCCATCATCATTGTTGTCAGCTGGGCTGCTGCTGGTAGAACGCTGAAGCTGATAAATGCAATGCTGAGCATCTTGACTCACTCTCCTTCGTTCGTCCACTTCATTCAACTCTTTGTCATTGGATCGACAGCCTTTCTCCCCCAGTTTTTCCCTTTATATAGTTAAAGAGAACATGACTCCTTGGCTTCCTTAGGAGAAAGTAGTCAGGGCTATAACCAGGTATAGGACAGCTTGGTTGGCATGAACATCTGCTCTGGACAGGACATTCATCTCCCTAAGAACAGCCACCTGTTTCTGTTCCTCACATACAACCTGTGTGACCTCAGGAAAGTTACTTTACCTCTGCATGCCTTAGTTTTCCCATCTATGATATGGGAGTGGTAACAATATTAATGGATATAGGTTCTCATGAGGATTAAGTGAGTGTATGTAAATTTCCATGTGCTATACTTGGTACAAAATCAACATTATATGCAAATTGGCTTTTAGTGTTACATGTTTTTTTTTCTTATATGGTGTTATGTAATATGTCTACCTTTGAAATTATTGATTATTTTAATTTTATAGTTTTATAATACTCATTGAAGTAACTGCATATAGACTCACTAGTGTGTGTCCAATGGACAGTTAATTAATCTTAGGTAATTTTCAAGTTGAAGGTTGAAAGGACATTACCCTGGGAATCAAGGAAGTGAGGAATTAGTCTTCAGTGCTTCGCCTTTTATCTGTGTGATACTGAACAAATCACTGAACCTCTTCCGCTCTTTCATTCTTGAAAATAAAGATTGTAATGTTTTCCCTGCTTACTTCATGGGTCTGTTGTGAGGATGAAGTGAGGTGTCAGGGTTTTGTGTGCTGTCACTACCAAACGTACAGTGATTGCTATGATTAACCTAACAACAATGGCTACCTCTTTTTGACATTCCTTAATATCTTCTTTCCACACACTCAGCATTCACTCTGTCACCTGAAGTATCCAGTGCATAACTTCAACCCAGTGTGAAGGGTAAGCAGTCAGATCCAGAGAGAATGGGCAGAGAGGGAAGATAGGACTATAGCCAGCTCATCCTTGTCACTAGGTTCTTGGGAAGCCTTCACTGTTGGAGGCTTTCAGTTCCTCATGGACCAGCCAGGAGTCTCAGCATAGGAGCCAGGCTTTGTATAGTAAGAAATGCCCAACCAAACAACCAAGATAATGACCAGAGCAGGAAAGGAGGGGCCCTGGGACGAATCCTCAAACTGTGGCTAGGTGTCCTGGCACTGACTCCATCATAAACTAGTTGTGTGATCCCAGGTAACTCCCTTAACTCATCTAAACCTCAGTTTCTTCATCTCTAAAATGGAGACTCATAATAATACCTTTTTGAACTATAGTGAGGATCTAGTGACCTAATTTATTAATGTGTTTGCAATTGTACCAGTAATGTTGAATGAGGCTGAAACTGTGAGATCCTTGAAGGCGAGGGACCACTCATCTTTATATCTCCAGTATCAACAGAGTCCCCAACACAAGCCAGTGTTGTTGGAACAAAATTGAGTAGGATAATAGGAGGTTTGGGTATGAAGCAGAAAAAGAACCAACAGAAGATGAGGCTGGGAAGATAGGTTCAGCCAAAACATGAAGGACCTTGGATGCCTTGCCAATGAGTTTGAGTGCCATGAAACACTTTTTATGAGGAAGTGTGGTATGACCAGATGTGTTTTAATTGCTTCTCCAGGGTGGGCCTGGAAAGGAGCTGAATAAAAGCAATAAGACAGAGGGAGGAGACAGTGAACAGTGGACTGGGAGACCAGATGTATTTTAATAAGCTTCTCCAGGGTGGGCCTGGAAAGGAGCTGAATAAAAGCAATAAGACAGAGGGAGGAGACAGTGAACAGTGGACTGGGAGAAAAAAGAAACTTCCAGAACATTCCAGAAATTGAATCTATTTGGTGACCAATTGGTTATGAGAAGAGCAGTAATTCAGCATTCTAAGGAGATCACCAAGGCATCAAAGGCTCCTTTCTGTTTTATGTAGCACCAAGGAAGGGAAGGGAAAAGAAGAGACACTGTCTTCCCTTAGCAAACATTGTTTCAGAAATTCAGCCCCAGGTCAGAGGGTGTGTCTCAGAGAAGGGGAGGTGGCCATGCTTCTCAAAGTGAGTTTCCCAGGGAATTAGGAGGAACCATCCATAGCAAAGCTACTGGCAAGTAAAGAAGCTTTGCTGTATTTAGCAATAAAACTCTTTCCTGCTTTGGGACACAGTGTATTTGACAGGTTGGGCTACAGTGGTAACCGGTGGATTGTTAAGTCTGGCTGGCTGGAGAATCCCTAGTCAGCCACATCAGTGCTGAAGGAGGAGCTTCTGATCATATCAAGTTCTGGTAGACTTGAATGGTAGAGACCTCTGAATGGAAGAGGTTGACTTTCATCTCCAGATTTTCTTGAAGAGAATCACCAATGTCCACTTCACCTGGACTGTGATTTAATAGAAAGGTAAACAGTCATAACCAATACTGATTGAGCACCTACTATGTGCCAGGCACTTCACTGAATGCTAAACTCGAATTCCTTAATCCTCATAGCATCACCTTGAGTGTGGTCATATATTCCTTTCCCATATATCAGCATTTTGTCCTTTTCACATTATTATTATCTCCATTTTACAGATGAAGAAACTGATCTCAGAGAATTTGGTCACTTACCAGAGATCACACAGCTAGTAAGTGATAGAGTGAGGGTTTGAAGCCAGGCAATCTACTTTCAGACCTGCTGCTTTTAACACCTCACTTCCTGCCTCAGATCTGTATTGTTCTGCTTTGGGCTGTGAAGCAGAATAGAGACACCCCCAGGAACTGTTTAAACATGCTTCTTGGTTCTTTACTACCACTCTTAGATATCTGTTGGATTTAGCTCCCAGCTGCCTTGTTCACTTGGGATTTCAGACACCATTCAATAAAAGCCTTGGTAATTCCCTGGGAATGAATTATAGGAGAGCCAGCCTATTTAAGAGAGAAGTCTGGATGAAAGAGTGATTCCCTAAATTCTGTGTCACTATCAATGCTTGGGTTGCTTCACCTGTGGTAACACATTTCCCTCTTTTCAGATCTGCCATGGACTTTAATCCTCAAAGGTAATGGAGGTAAAGCAGATAAGAGTATATTCATTTCTCAGATGAGAAAAATTGATGTTCAGAATTCAAGTGATTTGGCAAAGTTACACAAATGCTATTACACATAAAGGTATATGTAAGTAGAATTCAAGAGCAACCCCGTATTTCCAGGCAGGGAATGATATAGGGACTGTTGTATCTTAATGTATCAACTAGCAGTTGTTTCTAAATAGCAGTTCACGAAAGAACTGATTCCCACACACCTATTTGTGTAATGTTTGTACTCTTTGTTTTTCTGAGCAAGTCTTATCTATAGAGATGCACTGCCTGAGTGGAATTAACACAGGTTCTGACTTTGCAAGACAGAATAATGATGCAGATTTGAGTTCACTCTTGCTCATCAGAAAGCTGTCTGCTCCTGTCCCATGTGTTTTGCTTTCTGTCTTCTCTTCGAACCATCACTGGAGACATTTCTCTAGAAAGATAACTGTGAGTCTATTTAATCTTTGCAGCCTGTGCAAGGCTTTGACTATGCCAAGCAGCACCTGGGCCAGCAAGGGGCAGATGAGGAAGTCATCCCTGTGACTCAGGAGACCGTGGTCCTTCCCCTGCCAGTTAGAGATGCTCCTCAGGAGAGGGATGTCGCTCAGGATGGGAGCACCATCAAGACGGCCAAGTCCACTGAAACCAGAAAGAGGTAGGCAGAGGCCAACTTCTGCCTTTCCTTGTCAGCAAGAGAAACCATCCATGGTGGGAGCAGCTGTGGCCTCAAGTGGGTTACCCAGTTCCCTTTAAAAAGTCCCCTTCGTGCTCATTTTGAACCCTGAAAAAGAGACTGCGTGAATGACAAGAGTCACAATCCCGGCTCCCTTTGTGAGGCTTTATGTCCCTATTAGACACTGCCGCGGTAATGTAGCTTCTGTATTTATGCTGGCAAATTTGGCTCTGATGTCACTCTAACGTTTTTAATGTCTGTTAAGCAGTGCCTTTCATTCAGGATAGTTGGAAGTTATCTGGCAGTTTCTCAATAGAGTTTCTGATGCCAGTCAAAACCATTTATTGCATTTTTACCATGAACAGAGCATTGTGACAGGCATTAGGAGGACTATAAAAATGTGGGAGATTGATTGCTGACCCAAATATCTCGTGATGGAGGAGACAGAGAGATAAATACTGGAATACAAAGTGTGACAATGTGTGTGTGCCCAAGTGGGGTCTAAGTGTTGCGGCAGAGAGAAGAGGGGGATTTAATGCTGCCCAGGGGGACGTTGGAGCAGGTTGTTTTAGCCAAGCCTTGTAGGGTAGGTGGGGGGATCTGAGTAGGAGGGAAGAGATAAAGGTGTCCATCTGAAAAAGTGAGGAAAGAAGAGGACAGGGAGTGTTCTCAGAGTTCAGAGTTCTCAGCGGTTGGGATGTAGTGAAGGATAAAATGAGAAGATGGGTTAAAATTGTGCACTATCTTGACTACCAGGCTAAGGAGGCCTTTCCTCTGTAGGCAATGAGAAGCCATTGAAAGTTCTTTGGGGGAGACAATGACTTCCAGCCTGTATTTTAAAAGGACTACTCTGATGGGTGTGGATGATGGATGGGTTAGATGGATGATGGATGTGGATAGATGATGGATTAGGTTAGAGACTCATTACAAGCACTTCTCAGTAGCCCTGTAAGAAGGTAATGAGTCCCATGACAGGTCCTGCTGGCTGACAGAACCAACATCCCTCACCCACCCCTCCTACCTTGCCTATGGAGATTGAAAAAGCCACATCTTTTTTGTGTCATTCCTTTTTTTGCCTCCCTTTATCTAACAGATATGCATTACTTTACTTCACTATTTGCCAGACTCTGGAGATGTCTTAGTGAACAAGACAGAGTTGGTGTTTTCAGGGAGTTCATAATCTGGTGGGGAGAAATAGATAATGAATAATGAAATAGATAAGGTCTATTTATTTCTACGTCAAGTGGTGAAGAGTACAAAGAAGGAAATAAAAGCATAGTGAAGGGACAGAGAGATGGAAAGGGGAGCATAGTGCTATTTTAGACAGGCTGACTTGCCGATAGCCTTGTGTGGGGTGGCCCATGTCACTGAGACCTCTTTCTACCTGGTTTCTCATCCTCCAGCAGGCTAGTTCCAAGGGCACCAAGGAAAACTAGCCCCCAAATACAAGCATTTCCCAACTCTCTGCTTGTGTCCTGCTTTGTCATGTGGTCAAGTTCAGAGGAAGTGTGAGAGAAGACTTCCCCAAAACTTGGTTACAGAGATATGAACAAATTGGGACCATTACTGCAATGGTCTCCACGGCAGGGAAGAGCCTGAGCAAAGCAGAGTTGAGATGGACAGAGAAGCAACAGGTGATTGATCTGAGTTGAGTTACAAATAGTGTTATCTATAGCAATCATTCTCATTATGATCTTTGCCAGATACAACAAAGGCATATTGACAGCTTATTTATTGCCTATCTAGAAGACATTGAAAAGATAGGATATTAACATAGCACTTCCAGGAAGAATAAAAATTCTTTTCCACCTATTTGAGTTGAGCAAATTGTTTAAGATTAATTTTTTTAAAATTGCATTAGAACAAGCTTTTCTTCTTGGATTAGCAAGGAGCTGCCTCTTGCTAACTGAGTTCAATTATTTACTCCAAATTTTTATTAAGAAATAGTAGCTTGTGAAACAACAGATAAAGAAAATGCCTGTGCTGCTGCATGGTTTCTGCATTTGCTTAATTACTTCATCATAAAAATGTAATTTTATAGGGGCCAGCTGTATCATTGCCCAGACTGTGGGAGAGACCTCAACTGTGTTCAAGTCTAGCTGATCAAGGAAGTCTCAGATCATTAGAGAAGATCGTAAATGCCAAGTCCAAGGGCAAACCCATCATGAATCATGTTTCTGGTTTCTCCATTTTCTGTATCAGTTTCCTCGTTCCATCTAGATAAGGACTGCAGGACCCGGGTGCAAGATGGGTCTGTTAGATGACCTAAAAAGTTTTGTGCATGAAAATAAGAGAAACCAACTATTTGATAATTACTAACATGCTTCCATTTTTTAAAAAATGATTTAAAAACACATCTGAAGATTCAGTCTCTCCCAGACAGTCTGAGTGTTGTAGGTCTTTTTCCTCCAGTCTAAGGTCTTCGGGATGCTATTGTTTTAGTCTGTGGCCAAATCTGATGGGCCAGGGTGGAGAATCAACCTCCTAGGAGCAATCATTTGCAAAGGGGACTTAGTGATAGGCTATAATTGTTCAGTAGCTGATTAGTCCTTACCCCAAAGACTCTCTTTCCACCTCTAGTCTCAGAATGGGAACCATTAAGTTCAATAGCCTAAAACTGCATTCTCACAGGTGACACGTTTTTGCTTTAAAAAATACTTTACTGTGATGTAAGTACACACACACACACACACACACACACACACGCACACTGTCTCAGCCTCTGGTTTTGATTAGGAATTTGGAGTTGATGACTATATAAACAGAACTCTACAAACTAAAGAACAGAATTGGGTTTTCTCTATAGAAATTTGCTCATTGACACTTCTTCTTGGAGTAAGAGGAGCAGTCAGAAAATTGTTTCAGGATCAAATGAGGGAAAGGATCTTAAAATGCTACAAAAATAATTAAGTAATTTGCAAGTGTAAAATAGGTTACAAAAAGCCTCTTTCTTTCTTTTTTTCCCCCCAAAACTAAATGAAAGCCTTTTATTCTAATAAAGCCAGCAGGAAGAGTAGGTGCTATTAACCATGAGATTCTAAAAACAATCCAGGGGTGTATGTCTTCTCTGTGTGTGTATTTATACACCCCACATTTAGCAATCAAATAGCTGTTGGTTGAATAAATAATAGATATTCATTCATTAATGCCCAATCCATATTTTCACAGAATACATTTCCCAGACTACTAGTTTTATAGGAAGTTTTATGGTAAAAGAGATTTATGGCCACATAAATTATAAATTGCTGGATTTAATGAAACAAAAGGAATCTGAGAAAGAACCAGTCAGAGCCTTTGATATGATAATGTGCCTTAGGAATCTCTAAAGAATGAACAGAGTAAACACTTCCCAGACTTTGTGTGTGGAAGCTCGGCTCTCGTGCTTCCTAGAACGCTCTTGCACCTGCTGCTTTGTGCTGGGACATCCCAACTCTTTCACTGCTGGTGGGTGTAAGGTGCTCATGAGTGCAGAACTGAGAACTCTAGGCTCCCAGAGGAGGGGGAAGGAGCAGGAAGGTGCACCTTCAAGGACACACAGCTCCCACCTAAGAAATTGCTTGCCTCCCGCTTGAGGCATTGATTCCAGTTTTCCACTGAGGGGGCTCAGTGCCCCTATTTGCTAAATGTGGACAGTTGATACTAAATGAGAAGCCTCCGGGTACCTGCCTCCTGACAGCCTTCCACAGAGGCAGGTGGTTGGTCTTTGGACTCATTTCACCCCCACGCTGCTGTGAGTTGAGGCCCATGAGAGTGTGAATCCCTCACAGAGCTGCCCAAGGTAAGAGTCTGGCCCTGGGTAACCTCATCTGAGGTTCCTGTCAGGAACAGCAAAGGGGGTTATTCTGGGGTGTGAGTGGAGGGGGATCCCTGGTTCTAATCCACTGTCCAGGTGTGCCCTGGACAGCACACTTCACTTCTACAAGCTTCACATTCCTCATTTACTAAGACTGACATCACCAAATCAGGGGCGCATCCTATTGACTCACAACCAGTTTGAGGGGCACTCAGCACTCAGTAGGTGCTCCTGATGGAGCTCTGAGATGGCATAGTGTGGGTCAGTGTCTGTAGACCTGGATGCCTGGCACAAAGAGGCACATAAAAAGTATCTCCTAAACTTTAGGGCTTAAAGGAACAAATAGCTCAAACTGGCTGTATCACAGTGTAAGTGATTTCTGGTTACCACAGTTTTTAAAAAGTATGTGTCTTTGTGTGTATGTGTGCATATTATGTGTGATTGACAGAGTGAAGGCCCCACGGTGGGGTGACTTAATCTTTAGGCAAGGCCTATGCCATGAAGAGAATAGTAAAAAAGAACTGTCGCATATGCATGTATGAAGAGGCCCTTGTGATGCAAAGACTCAGCATCCAGCATGCTGTATGTTGAAAGGAGGGCATGCATGCTACACAAACACAGTCACCCGTTTCCATGGTCACTGGGTGTTAATGAAACTGAGAGGGGCCTTCGGGCTGCGCTCACTAAACTTGTCTGCAGAGCCAGCCCAGCCGTGTAAATGCACTTCAGAACAGCCAGCTGCCTCACCCATGTGTTGGCGTGGGTGGGTTTGGTTTTCTTCTTTTCATGTATCATTTCTTCCTTGCTGATAGAAATAAAACGAAAAGCTACAGACATAAACTGTGCAAATAAAATAACCTTGAGAGGTGGCTGTCCTAGTTGAAACTTACCATCTTCCTTGTTGCTATGGTTACTCCAGCAGGTCGCCCAGTGAGAGTGGCTCTGTCATCAGCAACGAATCAGGGAAGCCCAGCTCAGGGAGACGCTCACCCCAGAACGTAATGGCACAGCAGAAAGTGACAAAGGAGGAGGCAAGGAAGATAAATGGTGAGAAGCCTGCCCACCAAGCACCACCCCAGCCCCTCCCGTGGGTGCATCCACTTACACACTCCGTGTGATCTAACCCCAGCCCTTCTTTCCACTTTGCCCACAAAAGCCAGAGCTTCTTGGATGATTGCTTTCACCCTTTCTCTGAATTGTTCTGTTGCACCTGCTCTGCTCCTGTTCTTAAGGAATTGTGCAGTCCCTTAAAAAAACCATTGTAAAACAAAATGATGTTTGCTTAAGAGATTCATCTCGTCCTTTAAGGAATGGATGTGATATCTGGCACCAGGTCTGCAGAGGCAGCTGGTCTCTGAAATGCTGGCCATTTTGAAGGTTTCTTTCCATTTCTTGCCCTGATGCCTCTGATGAGTTTTGGGGATTCAGTCTGTCCCAGTGAGTCTAGATATTGCCAATCTAACTCGCCCAGGAAAAAAACAATAGATGGATTTGTCAATAAAAAAATTACCCTTATGGTTCATTCTCCTGGGAAACCTAACTGTTTCATCTGTCCTACACAGATCATTTTCCTCCCTCATGTGTATTAGTGTCTGGGGTTTATGTCTAAGTTTTTTGAGCTCCCTTCTTGTGTATGGCACCACCTATAGGTTACATCTGTTGAACATTGTTGTGTTGTCTTGCTGTCCTCCTGACCTCACCTTGGTTCTGACCCTCATCCCCTTGTGGTCCTTCTCCAAATGAGGCTGGCTCACAAGAGCCCAGAATTCAAGGACCCAGCACTGCTGATTTCACATCAGGGAAAGTTCCTTCTGAATTTCAGAGGGTTGTGGGTAGAGCCCTACAGAAGCACCAGGTGAACAGCTAAACATCCCAGCTAAACATCTACTTAGCTGGGCTTCCTTCCCTTTTAAAGGCATTTGATGAAGTCGAATGCAGGCCTCTCTCTCTCTCTTGAAGTTAGTGTCAAAGTAATCTTTTGTTTTCAAATGTCACTTACCTATTTCTTTTTGCTGTCCCAAAGAGAAACAGAATGTAGAAAAAAAGAAAGAAAGAAAGAGAAAGAAAGAAAACAAAGAAAGAAATGGATTTGCATTCTGCAGAGAAAATACAGTCCCTGCCCCCATTTCCAGCTATTACATAAAGCACTTGTTAAATTCTAATGCCTGTTTGATGCTTGAATTTTTCTTCCCTTGAATTCTGTGTGCTCTGGAAGACAAAGGGTGCTTTTGGCATCAGACTTAGGGTGTGACCTGTGTAATTTTCCTGGAATATCTGCCCTATGTGGGACTACCTGAAATCCTGCTATCAGTTGTCTGCCAAGGAACATTCCAGAATCAGAGGAGCTCTGAGCACAGGCAGAGGGAATTTGGTTTAGCAACTTTCTTCTCTTTCTTCTCAGGGCAAGATGCTAAGAGACATGGGTAGAGGGAGCAAGGTGACAGCACATCTAGTAGACATTGAAGCCATGCAAGAAGGTTGTTTTATCCTTCCATGTCCAAGGTTCTGCAACCTTACCTTCAACCAATGGTGGATTGAAATAGTGTCTGTCTTGAACATGTGCAGACCTTTTTTTGATTGTCATTATTTGCCAAGCAATAACAACTGTTTATGTAATATTAATATTGTATGAAGTGTTATAAGTCATCTGGAGATGATTTAAAGTATATGAGAGGATGTGTGCAGGTTACTTGTAAATACTATCCCATTTATATAAGGAACTTGAACAGCCACAGATGTTATCTGTGGGCATCTTGCAACCAACTCCCTGTGGATACTGAGGAGCAACTATACTGTGTGGGTCATGACCTCCTCATCAACATGGTGCCCATCCGCTCTCTCAGTTCTGCCTCCTCCTTCCTCCTTCTCCTCTCCCTTCTTTCCTTCCTTTAGACACTTTGTGGAAGTTTAAGTTAAAAGCCATTCATTCTCCCACCCCAGGCCTCAAATGACTCTGGATAACTCAGTGTGTGTTTCTTTCTTTTTTTTTTTTTTTCTTTTTTGGTACCGGGGATTGAATTCAAGTCCTTGCACTTGCACAGCAGGCGGCGAAACCACTGAGCTAAATCCCTGGCCCAGTGTGTGTTTCTTTTTTTTTTTTTTTTTTTCTTTTTTGGTACCGGGGATTGAATTCAAGTCCTTGCACTTGCACAGCAGGCGGCGAAACCACTGAGCTAAATCCCTGGCCCAATGTGTGTTTCTTTGAACTTTTTGCTATGCATGTGACAACACACATGTATCTTTATGTTTTATCATCTTGCTTTGTTTTCTTTTACACAATGGAATCAATGTGCTTACTGTTCTGCGTGCTCCTCTGTCAGTCAATAGACATTTACAGTATGATACTTTCCCCTCTTCCATTTTTAATCTACACAGTACGTGGTTTTGACCCCATCACACCCCTCCCAGCTGGTAAAACTCTGCTGACCATTGTTGCTGTTCCTGTTTGCCTGCCCTCTCTCGGCCTTCTTACTTTGTTTAAGTCACTTTGATTATTTAAATATAGGGTTCTGAAATAATGACAGACAGGTGCCTGACTAAAATGGAATTACTGTTCCAATCTGAGGTTTTTATTTGTTTTATTAAGAAGCCATCTTTCCCAATCTTAAAGTGCTTCCTTGGTTGCATTTTATTGTAGCCAAAAGTAAACCCAGTGAATTCCCAGAGTTGGTCACTGTTTTGCCACAGGTTTCTGTTCAGTGAGGTTTAGGTTTGGAATTTTCAACTAGAAATGATAGGACCAGGTTGTATTGTGTAAAATTGACAGACATGACAACACATCAGAATTCTAGAATAAACTTTTATAAGACACACACTTGTCCTTTTTAATCAAAAGATCACCCCTTTTTAATACCAGTAAGAGTTAACTAATAAAATCAATGATGTATTTGATTGAATGGGAAGATCAACCAAAGAAGGAAGGGAGGAAGGTAAGGAGAAAATAATATTGAATGGGATTATGGAACAATCAGAAAGGTGTTTTTCATCCCTTTGGTGGCCTGCAAAAAGTATTGAGCACTCGTTGTTGGATGTAGCCTTTGAGAATAGATTATTCTGCTGGTGTCGAATATTTACTTTGTCTTATGGTTTACTGTCTATCCCAGAGGGTAGGGTGGCTAAGATTAGTTAATAATATTAATGTACTAGCCTGAAATTCTAAAACTTTCTGTTTTCCACCAGGTTTGTTGCATCTGTAGCTCCTAATATTCATCTTTTGTGAAAATAGAAACTTTAAAAGGAAAAGACCTGTCCCAGTAGCAACATGACTGGCAGGGTCCTTGTAGCTTAGTGCACTCATTAGCTACCAGAGCTGCAGGGCCATTTCAGAGTCTATTTCATGGATATGTTTAAATACAAGTAGGAAACTTAGATATGACAGCTGGAATTTTGAAAGCAAACACAGTTTGTTGTTTTTCTCAACCAAATATAGACATTTGAACTCCTGAGCCAAACTGAATGTCACCTTTGAAAATGTGTTTTTCCAATAAATTTAAAAGTAAATTCAAGATTAGAATATATAGATATAGAGATGTAGATATTCTTTACTATTTCGGTCATTCAAGAGCAAACAATGTCCCTAAGCCCTTTAAGTGGCACTCAGAGATTTCACTGTCGGAGCTCAGACTCTAACCAGACCTCGTCTCCTGATACTCATGGGGAGGTCAGACAAGAGAGGAACAAGAATTAGAGAGTTTCAAGGATAAATTATCACTTCCCTTGCCAGGGGTCTTGAGGAGCAGGCTAAGATGACCTAAGATGACAACGTAAAGGAATGTTCTTCAGTGATACTAGCTCAGGAGCACAGTTTCAGCTTTTATTTGTTTTTTTGTTCTGCCAGTGAAGTGAAGACTCACTTTTCTTATTTTATTTTGAATGGTATATATTCATGGGGTACAATGTGATTTTGAATACTTGTATACATGTGGAATGATCAAATCATAGCAATCAGCATATCAAATAGCACCACAAGGTAGTGATGCTTATTGTAGATTACTTACCTTTGAACTTTAACAAACATTTTGGAAAAAAAAGAGTATGAGTTGTTTCAGAGCATTTTCTGCCTCCAGTGAGAGCCCTCTCCCCATGCCTATTCTAATATGAAAAAATGAAATCTCTTCTTCCAGTCTAATTTACTGAAATGAAAACCAATAATGTAAACAAGGCACAATGAGAAGCAAATAAGCCACAGGATACAAGAAGTGTGTCTAGTGATGTGATGGTATTCTAAATACTTCTTTGATTTAACTGTGGCTCTTGCCTTTGGCACCTCCAGTGCTTTTTAGTTCAGGGAATAATTATGCGTTAAAATCCTCCATGAACCTATTGTACTCACAACATTTTATTGTATTTATGTTTAATGCAATGTCTTTTTAATGTATTTTTCCACAAAATCTTTGGGGGCAGAAGATACCTAAATATTTTTTTTCTTTACAACAATCCCTAGGAGAATTTGTCCTAGTTATGCTGCCCAAACAACCTTCCTCCCAGGGTGAGGGGTGAGAGTGTCACAATCCAGAAGCAATAAAAATGCTCAATGCCTTCTCTCCACCCTGTGAACAGTTTAGTGATAGCGTGGATTTACCTTCTACATGGTACCTGGTCCACCAGTACTAACAAGATCTCCTTTTTCAAGTCAGGAAAGGCGAGTCATTCTTCCCTCACTCATGGGTGTATTTGTCAAGCCTACTGAAGGCTGCATGTGAGATGCTGTGAAAGGCAATAGGCATCAGCCTTTGAAAAGATGGTCAAGAGCTGATAGTCTAGTGGCAGAGATGAGGACAGACTCTAAATCAATACAGTAAATCAGTAGAGATAAGTGCCAGGAAGAAAATACAACACAACGATGACAGGATCACTGTAAGTTGGTGGTTAGGGAAAAGTCTTCAAGGAGGAACTGAGCATATAAAAATCTAAAGAAAGAACATTCTGAGCTGAGGAAACAGCTAATGCAAAATTCCTGAGGTGGGAACATGCCTGCTGGGTTCCAGAAGGCCACTGTGGGGGATCAGAGTGGCTAAGGGGGAGATACAGGAGATGGGCTCAGCAAGGGGGCCAGCACCAGCCCCTCTAGGGCCTTGTAAGAGCCAGATGAGGCTTGCAGAAGACTCTGATCAGAGGAGTGATGTGATCTGGTTCCCTCTGGGAAACATCACCCTTCCTGGCTGCTGAGGGAAGTGTATTCTCAGGGTAGGGTGACAGGCATGGAAGTTCCAAGGTGAATGCTTCTTTAAAAGGTAAATAGATTATTCATTGCTATGTCACAAATTACCCCTATACCCAACAAGTTAAAATGATAGTCTACATTTATTATCTCACATAATGCCTGTGGGGCAGGAATTTAGAAGCATTTTAGCTGGATGATTCTAGCTCAGGGTTTCTTGTGAGGTCACAGTGAAGATGTTGGCCTGGGGTATGGTCATCTAAAAGTCTTGACTAGGCCTAAAGATGGCTGGCTCATGTGGCTGTTGGCAGGAGGCCTCAGTTGATGGCCTCTTAGACCTCAGAAACATTTCCACAGGGCTGCTTGAGTGTTCTCGTAACATGGCAGCTGGCTGCTCCCCAAGTAAGTGATCCAAGAGGCAGTAAGGTGGAAACCATCTTCTTCTTTTTTTTTTTTTTTTTTTTAACAACCAAGCCTTTGAAGCAACACACTGTTGTTTCTGCAGTTTCTCCGTGGTTACCAGGTCAGTCCCATTCTTTGGTGAGTATGAGTATCAGGAGGTGACAACTGCTGGAAGTCATCTTGGAGACTAGCCAGTTACTATAGATGGCTTTTACTGTAGTTGTTCACACGGGAGATAATGACAAGGGACAGGCATGAGTTGCCCAGCAAAACTACCCTCTAAAATTATTTATGTATCTAGTAACATGTCCAAATAGAGATTTCTCTCTGTTATTGGCTGCTTGGTGGCCTGCTATTTGCAAACTAATCCCCAGAACTTAAAAAAAAAATCTACTTATAACCCATTATTAGACTCTGAGTGTCTTAGCCAAATTGTAAAATAACAACATACCTGGCTACTTTGACAGATCTGGGATTATGGTAAGTGACAAAATGATATAAACTATGTGTTTTTCAATAATTTAAATAACATCCCAATCTCTTGAGTGGACAGGAGGAATGATGAAGTAATTCTATTATGTTCATATTTTATATAATACCTATTTTGCTTCTAAATTGTCTACTGGGTTAGTTATTTGAACAGGCTTAATTTATCTCTTGCCAAGCCATGCTCAATGCACTGTCATTCCTACAGTTATTTCATGGGAATATGGCTTAAGAACAAAGAAATCAGCAAGATACCAGTGGCCCTGGAACTTCTGTCAGCTCAGTTATGGAAGCACAAAGTCGACTGGTGTCTGTTAGCTATCGTAGCAGAGTGATCTGTTCAATAGAAGAATTAATTTAACAAAGTGTGGGTGGAAATCAGTCTAATTAGGGGACTCATCTGTAGCTTCACATTAGTTCCTCTGACAAGTTATTTCATAGCTTGATTTTGTTCTAGACAAATGGAAAAAAACCAGCCCAAATCATCGGAGAAACAGCCTTAAGAAAGGAAAAGTGACCACATTTAATTTCGTGCAAAACTTGATAGCTTTGGTGGCAAAGACTGCACTGAATGCCATTGCTCAGGTGGTGATCAGGTTTTGAGAATAGTTACAGGATTTGGCCAGATTTATTGTTCTTATTTCTAAAAACAGAGGACAAATTTACTTTTTTTTTTTTTAATGTTTTTTGTCACATATTTGAGATGGGTTTTGCTGCTTAAATTCAAATCTTTAGGGGTTGAAGGGAGGGCAGGGGAATGGGGAAAAAATAAGAACCAAGGTACATCATGTGAAAGTACAAGTTCCCAATGATAAATGTAAATGTATTTTATACCTAAAATGTACCAGTAAAAGAATTTAAGAAAAAAAATAATAAATTCAAATCTTTAAAACTCTTTCCTATCCACTGTTAACACAATGGCAAGATAAATAGTATAGATCTTAAATTTAAAAGAAAACCCGAGCAGCAGGGACTGCTTGGCGAAGAACCAGACCCTGTTGTCTCTGAGGTTGTTTAGAATAAAGTGATGTCCTTCAATGGCAGCAAGCCTCACATCTGTTCTCCCCTACATCATAAAGCTGATGGGTTTGTGTTGTGCTCTAGTCCCAGGCAGTGACGAAGAGGAGGGAGCCGTTCTGTTTGACAGCTCTGGCAAGGCGACAGCAGATCCCTTTGACACATCTTCTGGGTCTGTACAGCTCATCGCAATCAAACCCACAGCCCTGCCCGTGGTGCAGCCCACCTCGGACAGGAGCCAGGACTCCTCAGCGGTGCTCAACGGTGAGGTGAGCACCCAGGGTGAGCCAGTGTAGGCGAGTACAGCCAGTCCTTCCGGAGCTCAGGAGGGAGTAGCCCTTCAGCATGCCTGCAGCTCTGGAGATCATTCTTACCTCTGCACACATGAGACCTCACGGGAATGACTCAGGACACAAGTCACCCAAACAAGTCTGTTGAGTGATGTTTTCATTTCACTCATTGAAAACCCAGAGGGAGTCTTTAAAGCACTGTGATTATGAAAAGAAACATCAGAAGTTCTATGCCCCCTAACACATACACACACACACACACACATGCGCGTGCGTGTGCGCGCAAACATACAACACACACAGCCTTCCACATTTCTTTAGCACGCTCCTAAACTTCCACTGGAGATGTCATTGTTGAGGTGATGGGAGGGGTGTGAATTGGGAGGGAGATGAAGCATGTATTGTCACATGGACAGGGACCCTCTATCAGCTTTGAAATGGCATTTATTCCTTTGGGCTTACTGCTTTCAGAAGGATATTAATGGATGTTACAATGTTAATCAACTTCCCTGAGTCAAAAAAAAATCTATAACATATGTCAGACAGTGAGGATTTTATCCAAAAAATCAGAGATAATAGATAATATATGATGATAGGTAATAGATGCTTAATAGATAATAGGTGATGATAGATAATAGGTAATTGATAGATGATAAGAGGAGAGAGTCTGGAGGACAAGAAGTCAAGTAGAAATCATCTGCCATTTTTCCATTTTCTGTAGCAGAATGGTCAGTGGGCTAAAAATGTTTATGAATCTTTAAGAATAGATTATAGAACCTGCTTGTGAACATTTACATTACACATGTGTGTACACACACAGACTCAAACAGATGTTTATGGTTTCCTCTGGTGATAAGCCATCAGGTTGATTAATCATTATATTCCTTTATACCTCACCATTGTTACCTGCAACAGGTGGGAAATTTCCAAAGTTTTAAACTCTTCTTCTCATCACCTCAAGGAAATGCCATAGCCCTGCACAAATGGTTGTCATAACTGCACATGGTAATGTTCCACCATCTGGGACATTTATAAAAATGCTCATGATTCAGAAAGTGCCTCTTCTTCTCTGGGTATAAAGACTAAGCTGGTCTACAGATAGGCTGAGCCTCACCACAACTCATTTTAAATTTATAGAGCACTTCTGTTTCAGCTTCCTCATTTTTTAGACAAAAACCCTAAAGCCTGAGTGGTCACATGGCTTGCTCAAAGTCACATTGAAGGTCATTGTGGCAGCCATAATATTCAGGTGCCTCGACTCCCTGTCCAGTGCACCTTCCCTCTCTTTAACAGCACTGTGCTTACAAAGCATCCTCAAGCCAGGGCTACCAGGGTTTGAATCCCAGCTCCTGCACTTACTGTCTGTATGACCTTAGCCAGGTTTGTTAACTCCTCTGTGCTTCAGCATCTCCACCCATAAAATGGAACTGCTCTGAGGCCCAAATCAGCTGGTACTTGTAAGTTGTGTGGAACTATGTCTAACGTACAATAAGCACTTTCTTATTACTATCAATTAGTCAACAAGAAAGATTGATTCATATGAGGTGTGATCAAAATATACAATGAATATTTAAATTTTAAACATTTATTGCAGTAAAAGACACATTGCCATTAATTCCCCTCAATACATTCCCCTCACTTCAAACCTACTCATCTCATCATTCTTATTTCCTGAAGCAGTTCTGGAAGTACCCTTTCATGAGTGTCTTTAGTTGCTCTGTCATGGCCACCTTGATGTCCTGGATTGATTCAAAATGTTTACATTTCATGGTTATTTTGACTTTGAGGAAGAGCCAGAAGTCACACAGGGCTATATCTGGTGAACAAGGTGATGAGAACACAACATAATGTTTTTATGAGCCTGCTTTTCTGTTGGATGGCACCCGGTGGCAGCATGCAACATATTTTTTATTGCACCATGTAAAGATGCTCACAGAAGACTTCCAGAACTCCTTCAGAAAGGGCCAAGAATGATGGGATAAGTATGTTTGAAGTGAGAGGGGTACTTTGAGGGGAATTAATGGCAATATATCTCTCACTGTAATAATTTTTTATTAAAACACACTATATTTTTTTTCATCAGCCCTTGTGTGTATTTTATTCCCCATAGCTCTATAATTTGCCTGGGTGTCTTCCTAAAGCCAGTCACAGCCACTGAATTTTTTCCTAGGATGCAGTTCCACCACCAACATGTAAACCTGTCCCATTAAATCAATGAGAGCTAGTCTTGATGAGGACCCTCTGCCTGGCTATGGACTCAATAATGGCTGCCATGGTTGGATCTGTCTGTCACAGCTTAGTGCCAAGAACGTCATCAAGACAGACTCCAAATCTGGGACAGATTTGACTTCCCACCCCCTTTTCCTCCCAGGCTCATCACCCTGACACAGAAAGAGAACAGATGAGCATTTTCCTTGTCCAGAAATGGATCCTTGCTACATTTGTGCAGCAAGAGGAATGGATTTTGCTGCCATTTGGATTGGAAGAGAGCCCTGAACTATTCTCTGTAATTTGTGACCTAGTGGAGCTTGACACAGATTGCTCTATAATTTTCTTTCTTCTTGTCTTATGAGTGGCTGGTCTAAATGAAAAAAGCATAACCCTTAAGCCGTAATTTTTTCTTTTATGAATTACAGGAAGTTCTTTTAAAGATTATTTTAAAGAAAACATAATCACAACATCGAAAGTTCAGAAATGAGGGGGTGACATCCTCATCTTTTGTTATTTATGAAGCATGCCCATCTGTTTATAACTTTTACAGGTCAGAGGGATAGTAGCCATGCTCCTTTCTGAAAGACCAAACTATAGGCTTTGCCCCATAGAGCAGGATCTGGTTGGCATTCATAGTCATACAAAGTTTTAAAATAATTTCTCTCTTAAAAGAGAGATGGATTTACAGAAATATGTTTTCACATGCAGGCTGATCATGTGGAAGGGCCTTGGCAGCAGAATGTTTGTTCTGCCTTCCCACCCACTCATTCCAACTCGCCTACTTCAGGGCTGTCTCATCCAGCTAGGCCTCAGCCAAAGACTAGGGGAGGCCATTAGGGTCCCAAGGGCGGGTGCTAGACTCAGGGTACCAAGAACCAGCTGGGCTGCCAGGTCAGAGGCTCCCACACCAAGGACCTAAAAGATGTAGGCAGAATTAAGGCAAATGCCACAAAGCAAAGAGCCCAGAGTCAAACCTAGACTGGAGCAGTCGGTCAGTCTCAGGAAAAGGAGGTTTTGACAGAAGGGCTCAGGTGACTTAGTGAGTGCCTGGCCTCACATTGTTTTCGGACACAGGGTGAGTCTGGTGGTTCAGAGAACAAGAGTTGAAGCCTAGGGCGGCTTTTCCAGGAGCTGTCATCTTCTGGTGAAAGTCTCCACCTGTAGCCATGCTGGATTAGGCCCTGGCCTGAGATGGTCTCTCTCCTCAGGTAAACAAAGCCCTGAAACAGAAGTCAGATATTGAACACTATCGGAACAAGCTGCGCCTCAAAGCCAAGAGGAAGGGATATTACGACTTCCCCCCAGTGGAGACAAACAAGGGCCTGACCGAAAGAAAAAAGATGTATGAAAAAGCCCAGAAGGAAATGGAGCACGTTTTGGACCCAGACACAGAACTATGTGCTCCATTCACCGAGTCTAAAAACAGGTACAGACCCTATGGGATTCTTTTTTCTCTTTTTCTCAAATAAATTTATAATTTTGTTAGTATATGTTTATAGTACATAATGAATATATTCATCATGAGGTATTGGCGCATATGCATATCACACCTTGATCCTTTTTACCTCCCCTTCCTCGCATCTCCCCGTTTCCCAATCCCTTTCCCATCTCCACAGAGTCTATCTTCCCGTTTCCTATCACTTCTCTTTTAGTTTCCTCTTTATTTATGCTTTAGGTGTCTCATAAGAGAGAAAGCATGCAATGTTTAACTTTCTGTGTCTGATTTATTTCACTTAGCATTACAGACTCAAGAGATTCTCTGTAGGTCGCTGTAGCATTGGTAGGATGAGAACTGAGGACACCTTGGGCAATATGGACTTGGTCCCTTGATCTGGAGCCTTAGGATTGGGATCTTTGTGGGCCACCAATGTGGGCCCCACTGGTCCATGCAGCCAGGTGCTCCATAATGAATCTGGAGGAGATTAAAACCAAAGCTATTTTAAAAATACTGCAAACAACCATAGTTGTCCTTCAGCTTAATGATATTTTCCAGCCAGTTGCTATTTCAGAGCTGGGTGAAGATATAATTATTACCTACCTAGTTATGCAACTTCCAGATCAAGGGACATTGTATTTTTCAATTATGTTGGTGGCTCTTGCATAAGAAAAGCAAATTTCACAGCTCACCTTTTCATTCAGCCTCAGGAGGTATTTACCGAGCTGCTGCTTAGTGCTGTGTTCAGGTTTGTCTCATTCATTCATAGATTTCCTCCGCTGTTCAGCATTCGTCACCTGCTATGAGTCAGGGACCAGTGAAGATGCTCCACAGTGATATGGCCATGTGTGTCTTTTCTCATTCATTCCTTCAGTTCCTTCAACATTTATGATGGACAAGACAGTCTGATTACTGCTCCTGTGGAAGTAATGAGAGCGAGAGATACTTACCCAAAAGTGCTAATCACAGGCCTGGCGGGTGTGTGAAGTGTGGCTTGCTGTTGGTGTCTAAAAGGGGGCCGAGTCTCTGTGGCAGGGGTCAGCCAAGTGATTTGAACTGGCGTCTGTCTCTGCTTGTGCTGTGCTGCTATCACAGAACACCTGAAACTGTGTGATTTATAATGAACAGAAATTAATTTTCTCACAGTGCTGGAGGCTGGGAAGGCCAAGATCAAGGTACCAGCATCTGGCAAGGGCTTTCTTCCTTCATCATCACATATGGAAGGCAGAAAGACAGAAGAGGGCAAGGGGGGGCCAAACTTAACCCTCCTACAATTGCATTCACCTGACCCATGAGAGTAGAATCTTGTGGCCCTATCATGTTCTAAATGGCCAACTCCTCACACCTCCAAAACAACAGCTAAATTTGCACATGAGTTTTGGAGGGGAGGAACACTCCAACCAGAGCACTGCCTTCCAAGCTTGACTGCCAACTGAGCAGAGTGGCTTCACACACTGGGAGTGAGGGATGGTACAGTTCCTGCCTGACCTGAATGAGTATTTATGAATAGCAAAAATGATTCTGTGACACGCTTGAATCAAAGCCATACAATCAAGTACGGAGATGGGACTAACTTATGAATCAAATCAATGTGATTTATTTTCAATGAAGAAAAGAGGAAATTCTAAACCAGGGCTTAATTTACCATGCTTCCGATTAGACTGGGTTGGTATGAGAAGCTATTGACATGAAATCACACCATGACGGACTTCACAGTGCATGTGTCATCATGTTAATAGCGGTAGGAAAAAGAGAACAAAAGAGATGGATTTTATAAGGGGGAATAGTGGCAACTTTAGATTTTATTTTGCAGTTTAGGACTCTGCTTCAGTGGTCTTTATAGGCTGAGGTGGTTGCTGTTTCCCTAGTTTCCTGCTGATATGTGAAAAAACTGAATCAACTGTGATGTATAAATAAGAGAAGCTTAGCTTGGATGTCACTGGAGAAACAAAATTTTTCGTGATGGCCTTTTCTGAAAAGAAAATGAACACAACCGTTTTTGGGGAGTGCCAGGCCACATGCTGAAGGCCCTTTGGTGGCCTGCTGCTGCCACTATGTGTGTGGTTGATTCTCAGTGAATATCCATTGAAAAAAGCACTTCAGTGCAGCACCCAAAATAATTGTATTCTACAGCACCAAAGATATTTTTTTTTTAATTTGACCAGTTAAGGGGAAAAGATGGAGAGCCAAAATCTGAGTGAGCTGGGGAATAGGGTTGGAGAGGGATCAGTGAGAGATGGGGTGGAGGAGAAAGACAACCAGAAAAGGAGAGAGAAGCAGGCTCTCCCTAAGCACAGCTTTGGGGGAGTGTGAGCTCAGAGGTGTTATTCCTGATGCAGACTGCTGCTGACACGACAGGCTGCCTGCTGCTTAGCTCTTGTCACAGGTTAGAGCTACCTGTTAATTGGTGTTCACAGCACAACCCTCCAGAGATTCTGCCACAGCAGGGCACAGTGAGGGACTCGTTCTTCAGTCCAGAGAGAGCATCAATAATCAGAATTTTACCTCTGACCAAAGTTAAATAAAATGACACAACATTTAGATTCTAGATGTTGACTCAACATCAAATCTCTTAAAATAGTTTTCATGGCTTTTATACCTAAAATCAGAAAAACACTCCATTTTATGTTATAAACTCTTAACTGAGCTGCAAAGTACACAGTCTACCTGAGGTGATGCCACCTCAGTTCTCATTGCACCTGTTCAGGCCAGCAGCATCCGGCTGTTTTTCAGCAGCCACCAACCAGAAGTGTCAGGTCATTAATGTGCTGTGCAGCACCCTTAGCTAATGACAGATGGAAATTGATAGATAGATACCTCTGGTGGAGGAACTCTGGGGTGGTAATATCCACATTTTCTAGTTTCTGAATTTGATGCTTTGACATCTGGGGTGTTGCTGACTCCAGAGGAACTGGCCATCCCAGTGCAACTCAATTCCTACAGTAGTGATGGAAAGGACTTACCCAAAAATGCACTTTTCACATGCAAACCAACCAGTCCAGAAGAGCACCTCAGCCACCTCCTCCAAAGGATCTCATGGGGCTCTTGCTCTGGGCTGTTATCCACTTGCCTACATCACCCCGGGACCAGGTAGCAGACAGCTGAGGACAGCCTACCCCCATCCTATGTCTGCTTATCCTGCCCGACCCATTACTTCCATAGAAACCACTTTCCAAATTCTCCACTTGTATGCAAGTCATTGCGATGTGTGTGTCTAGAGAAGCCAACCTAAGGGTCCTAAATAACCTATAAAGACAAAGTTGCTGTGATAGAAGGCGGGGCTTCTTCCTTCTCAGTGGTTCTAGACTGTCTCCATGGAGCCCCAGAGTTCCACAGAGCACAATTTGCAAACTGCTTTCATAGACTACCCTGAGATTAAAAAGCTCTTAAAAATCCAAGTAAAAGACTTTATTATTCACCAAGTAATATTTTCAGAGCTAAAATATTTATCAAGTTTACATGTTCCAAAATATATTACCTTTATAAAAATACTGCAAAATAGCAACAAGTAATGAGTACACCTAATGGAATCCATTTGATTAAAATAGGCAATTTCTCTGCCTGAAAGCCTAATTTATTTCTAAGCAGATGTTCGCTCACCAGGCACACATTGATAGTCTGGTCAATTGAGATCCATGTTAAACAACATCCTTTAAGCCATGCATCATAATGGAACATTGTCTCTGAGGGAAGATTAGACTGGTGGATACTCCATTGCAGAAGCTCTTACCTACATTCATTGTTCCTGAAAAGGCTTATTCATCTTATTATTGTATTTCTAATACTTACAGAGTCACCTACTGAAATGTCAATTGTTAGTCCTCCTGGTTACTCTTCCACCACCCTTCTAGTAAATCTTTTTTTTTTTTTTTTGGTACCCGGGATTGAATTTGGGACCTTGCACTTGCGAGGCAGGTGGTGGCACCACTGAGCTAAATCCCTGGCCCATAGTAAATCTTTTCTAAATGGGCTAATTAGCAATCTCAAGACAGTTGTAAAGCCTGCTTTTTCAAAAAAGTATCTGTAATTAGGTCAAGGATGAGAATTCCTTGGGTTCTGCTGAAGTCTGAGTTACTCACAAGTTCACTGAGGTTGGGTGCCTTCCCTGAAGGAAGCCTCTAATTGCAGATAACTGGAGAGAACAATTTATAATATCACATCAATAGCTTCGATATTAGTAAGGAGTCATTTGGTTGCAAATGATGGAAATCCAGCACAAAATAGTTAAATAAAAAGGGAATGTATTATTGAGCATTATTGAAAGGTCAACCCTTTGACACAGCTGGATTGGGGTGGGGGACTCATAAAATGTCTCCTATACTCCTGTACTTGCTCTTGTTCTCTCTTCACTCTTTGCCAGTCCCGATGGGAGGCTCTAACTTCATGATGGCAGATTAACTGCCAGCAACTCCAGGCTTATGTCCCTGTCTTCTTAGAAATCTCAGTGCCAGGAAAATCTCTTTCTTAGTTGCCCTAGAAAAAGTCCTGAGGCTCAGTCTCATTGGGCCAACTCATGCTCTGTACTGACCAATCACGCGGTCATCAGCATGTGATGCTGTGATTGTTCAAACCTAAGTCAGTTGCCTACCCTCAGAGGAAATGTACCTCCAAGCAACATCCTGCTGCTCTTATCAGTAGAAGGTTATGCATACTAGGAAGACAATGACAACAGATGCTCTCAAAATAGGTATGAATTCCTCAAGGTAAAGGAGCAAATTTAACAATGTCTGTTTCATTCCCCAAGCAGATTGCAAGAGTATTGCTTTACCTTGGAATTCTAATATCTGTCCTAAACTCTGTGTGTGTGTGTGTGTGTGTGTGTGTGTGTGTGTGTGTCTGTAATGCTATGACAAATTTATTGTGTGTTCTTGAAAAAGTGTATGCCTGCTAGGTTTCTGGTATCCCACATAATCCCTGGGAACAAATGATGTAATCTCTTCACCTTTGGCACATGAATAGCTGGAATCTTAAAACCAAGACATACAATCTTGTATGTAGGGAGTTCTCTGAAGATGGTCTGGAAATGCAAATTATTTACAGAGAGATGAGAGGAAACTTGTATCTTTTTGTCACTCTCACGAAAGACACCTGTCCCTCTGGGTCACACTCCCTGCTTGTTAAAGTAGCCTCTTGTAGAAGAATAAAAGTATAGCCATCATCCCCTTTATGTTGCTGTTTTCTTTTCTCTCTTCATATAGATTCCTCTAATGACAAGTAGCAGCAGGACAATGTATGGATTTTCTAAAACTAACTGAGTAGAGCCTCAGAAGGTGCTACTCCTGGACCTAAAATACTCTGCCCACATTAGGATGGGGCTGGCTCTATTTATGACTTGGCTTCTCCCCAGAGTAGCTTCCCTGACCATCCTATCTGAAGTTGGCCCCCATCCCAGTCGTCCTCTGTCAAAGCTCCCTGTTTTTCTCAATAGCATGTTCTGAAATTATCATGTTGTATCTCTGTCAGTACAATAGAAACTCTGAGAGAGTTGGGACTATGGATGTTTATCTTCTTCCACAGTAGGACCTCAATAAAGGAAAAATGGATGGATGGATGTTGGATGGATGGATGGGCCCTTTGTTATTTATCTTTCTACCAGTGTGACAAAGTGCCTGAGATAAATCGACTTAAGAAGGAAAGGTGTATTTTGGCTCATAGTTTCAGAGGTTTCCCACTCTAATTGCTTGGCCCCATCACTGTAGGCCTGAGAAAAGGATGAACATCATGGTGGAGAACACATGGTAGAGCAGAGATGCTCACTTCATGGTGGTCAAGAAAGGGAGAGAGGGAGAAGGAGAGAGGGAGAGGGCCAAAGATAAGATCTAGCCCTCAAGGGCATGCCCCAAGGACCTGCTTCTTTCTACTAAACCCCACCTCCTAAGTTTCTACCACCTTCCAATAACCCGGAAAATTATGAATTATGAAGTTAGAGCCCTCTTCATCCTATCACCTTCCAAAAGCCTTAGCCCTGACCACTGCTCTACTAACAACAAAGCTTTCAACACATAGCTTTTAGGGACATTTCAAATCCAAATCATAACGGGCTCCAAATTGCCTCTAGGTTTATGGGTTCTTAGTTCAGAAGGGAATCCACTGTGGGAACTGTAGGAAAGAAATCTATCAACAATCACAATATTAGGCAGCCAGCTAGCTGAAGGGCTTGCTAATACACTGTAAGTCCTGCACTTGAAATGAGGAGAATTAAAAGGAACAAGAGGCTGCTGAGTCAGCAAAGTTAACAGAGGCAAGTGTGTTCTGCCAGGCGTAGCTGTCTGCAAGGGTCAAGGGAGAGCCCCTGGCCTTGCCATCAGAAGAATTTTAGATGAGCTTGCAGTGTTGAAATGGATGGTAGTTACCTAGTTTTCATATGAAAGAGCACTTATAATTTAGCCACATGATTTCAGCATCTGGAGCAAACAGCAAACAAACAAACAAACAAAAACAAGACAAAAGAACATTTATTCTACATTTTCTACTGCCCCTTAAGGCCAGGGAACAAATCCCATTGATTCTGAGGATTTGTGTGGCAAATGGAAACCCTTCATTGGTTGCCTGTAGTTTTGGATCAGTGGAGAATTCCATCTGTCAGGGCATTTGCTGTATCATAACAGTTGTTGAATTTTCTTCAGGCAACAGATGAAGAACTCTGTCTACCGAAGCCGGCAGTCTCTGAACAGCCCCAGTCCAGGAGAAACTGAGATGGACCTTCTGGTCACTCGGGAGCGACCCCGGCGTGGAATCCGGAACAGTGGATACGACGTAAGTCTCTGGTGGGCTGGGGTGAACACAAGCTCTTCTTTCCCCTAAAAGCAAGAAGGAGGACAGATCATTCCATGTTTCAGTTTACTACATGTTTATGGAAAATGAAAATGCACTAAAATCCTTTCTGGTTTTTATTACTTCTTTTGCAAAATAATGGTACTTGGAATATGTCAGAGCTGAAAGGATCATGATTTCTAAATAGCAGTTTTGCAAATATTACTGACCTAATACCAGTTTAGGTTTTTAAAGTCATTAATTTATTTCTGTCTGTCTTCAGAAACTCAATAAGCACCATGGGAATCGGTTAGAATTCATTTGAACACAGGCTTTTAATTCATAGCAATGTTAAAAATTTGGACTTGTTCCTGATTTCATAACTCCTCAGTACACCATGGAAACAATGAGATGTCCAACAGAGTGAGTTGATGATTTTGTATGACAAAGCACATGTGTGTGTTCAGTGATGGGTCCAAACTGCGGAAATTCTCCTGATCCCTTCAGACTTCCCCAAATGAGGAACTACATCCCTGTGCCTCCTATCAAGTTGTTTACATCCTGAATTTGGAGTTACATCCATGAGCTCATGTGAATTATTCTGGGCCGAGATGTTCAATAACGTTGCTCCCTGCCCCACAATTTCAAAGGGTCTTGATATACTCTTAGGCTTCATGAAAAATATTTCTTTTCATTCCTCTAAGATGTTTCTCTAATTACAAATTAAAATTTTTCAGTAGTAAGAATTATAATTCAAATATGTCTGGAGAAACTTTTGTTATAATTTGAGAAGCTATAGTTGGAAAATGACAGTGGATTTCTTAAATATATCATGCTTACTTGAAGAAAGTAATATTTCCCCTGAAAGGATTGGCTGTTATTTGCCACAGAAGTTTAAAATGACATTTTTTAACAGTTCAGTTGAAAAAAAGGTTGTTTTACCTAATTTGAATCTCTGCTGACTTCCTGATATTTAAACTTGATGTTTGCATTGGTAGTGATACTGTTTATCTTTTTTTTTTAATAAAAGTTGGATAGTTTAGTTGTATAAAATTCCAAATACTCAGAGCATGTTTTTATCTTCCAATAAGTTAAAGTATCCTAGTAGATAATGTTTTCCTCATAAAAAAATATTTCTTATACCAAAGTCATTCATTGATTTTATCATCAATATATGATTAAAAATTAGCAGAAGTTTTAAGTTTCCTGTTAACCCTTCTACCAAGAGCATTCATTCTTCCTAGATGCTTGATTAGTTAGGGACATTTTTTTTCCTGTTCCAGTACCTGAAATATGACAGATCTTTTAGTTTATCTCAAGATATGGTATCAGTAAATGTTAGGGTTTAGATCTACAATATCTTCCAAAAGGCTTATGTGTTCAGAGATGGAGCTTTTGGAAAGTAATTCGATGGTGGGGATGCTATACCCATCAGTAAATTAACCCACTGAAGGGTTCAGAGCTGAATGTGCTGTTAGGAGGTGGGTCCTGATTAGAGGTGGTCACTGAGGACATAGTTTGCAAGGATGTTATCCACCCCCTCACCCCATCTTCCCTTTGTTCTCTGCTTCCTGGGGACCATGGTATGAGCAGCTTTCCTCCACCAGACCCTTCCACCATGACCTTCCTCCCTTGGAGCCAGATGACTATGAATCCTCTAAAAACCATGAGCCAAATCAACCTTTCCTCCTTAAAGTTGTAGGTGTTGGGTATTGTGTCCAGTGACAAGAAAGTGACTAAGACAGTAAGTTTCTTGTGGGAGTATAGGCATGGATGCTTTTATAGTTATGGGGAGATGAGCCAGAAGTCCCTATAATAATTATAAGAGGAAAGCACTGCACATCCTTTTAACCATGTTATATGACTTGCAGTATTCACCTAGTACCTTTGGAATGTTGTGTTAGTAAAACAATAGGAGAGAGAATTTTTAAAAAGACATTGTTCACCCTTCGCAGACATTTATAAATATCCCAAGTACAGGTTACTTTCAAGAGGCCCTCTTCATTCTAATAGATTTTTCAAAACTATTTGAGAAGGATATGTAATTTAAAAACCATAAATATAAACTTTCTTAAGAGAAAATGATCATCCGGTGGGCAGTTTGAACACTTCAGAGCTTTGGCTGTAAGAATGACACCAACGGTGGGCTGGGGCTGTAGCTCAGTGGCAGAGTACTTGTCTAGTGAGTATGAGGCCCTGGGTTCAATCCCCAGCACCACCACCACCACCACCAAAAAGAAAAAAAAAAGGATAAAAGATCAGGGGTAAGGGAGAAGTAAGACAGAGGGCAATAAAGGGATCAGAAATGGCCAGGATGTGTTACATGCAGGTATCAATTCCCCAGAACAAGCATCACTATTATATACTGCAAACATACACTAAAATAAAGAATGAAAGAATAACATGACTAGCTGGGCATTATGGCATATATCTGTAGTCCCAACTACTCAGGATGTTGAGGCAGGAGAATTGTGAACTTGAGGCCAGCCTTGAACAACATAGGCAACATAGCAAGACTTTTTCTCAAAAAGAAAGATGAGACTGCTTACCTATATCTCTCTTGTGCTTTTACTGCTAATCATATTAAAAGTACTTAGAATTTACTGACTGTACAAGTGTAGACCAATTCCCATTCTACTTTTTTTTATATGTATAACCTTATTGAATTTGCATGACTTCCAGTTGGGGAAATGCTTTCATTATGCCCATTGCACAGAAGAGGAAACTGAGGTTCAGAGTAGGTCCGTAACTTATTTGCCCAGCTCCAGAGCTCACCATGCAGTATGGATTTTATATACATCCCCCTCTCTGTATGTCTTCCCTCACATAAGGTAGCATATATCCTATATTGTGGAACCTCTGGAAGAGGCCAGATGCAGGTCTCAGCAGGATTTCTACATTGATAACTCATACAAACAAAACATGAACCAGCAAATAAAGTACAAAAAGAAATGAGTCACAGTTTGTAACAGTGCATTCATTTTCTGAGTTCAATCATTTTCCAAAAATGCCAAGGTACTCTTGGCAAAAGAATCCATCAGCCCAGCAATGAATTGGTCATTCCATTGGAAATATGACATTCTTCCTATGGGGTCTGGAGATCTCAAAACCAGGCCAGATTACCTGGTCATTGCGATATATGGAAACTAAAGCATTGGGAGATTGATTTAATTTTGATTTTATCAAAAGTTGACTTTAGCATCCCAAAAAGAAAATAACAAGCTATTTTAAACAGATAGAAAAATAACCAGGAGGAATGAGGTGCTCATAAAATCATCATAGGGGTGGAGGAATGTCCAGGAAAGACTCCTAGAACAGTGCTAAGGAGGGGCTGCTGCCACTGTCCAAAGCAAGAGGCGGGAAGCAGGCTGCCCTGGAACTGCCATGGTTAAGGAAACACAGCCAGCTGGGTGTGGTGGCACACACCTGTAATCCTAGCACTAGGGAGGCTGAGGCAAGAGAATCACAAGTTTGAGGCCAGCCTGGGCTATGTTGTAAATTCAAGGCCAACTTGGAGTATATAGCAAGACCGCTTCAAAACAAACAGATGGTGGGGGCAAAAAAGGGAGGAAGTTGTTGCCCACCCCTATGTCCTCAAGAGCTCTACCTATTCTCTCTTCCAGCCAATTTAGTGTTTCTGTTTTAATATTTAGATCTTTGATCCATTTTTATTTCAGTTTAATGTGTGGTGAGAGACATGGGTCTAGTTTTAATCTTTGGCAACGTAGAAAGCCACTTTTCCCAGCACCACTTTTTTTTTTCATTAAGTTTATTGGTACCTTTTAGGTATAAAATACAGTTAGATTCATCGTTGGGATATTGTATATGTACACGATGTATCTTAGTTCTTTCGCCCCCCCCCATTTCTTTGCCCTTCCTTCACCCCCTCCACCCTTCCCTATTTACAAAGACTTTGTTTCCATTTTTTCCTTTTCTCATATTTTTTTCTTTTCCCTTCTTTCCTTTTGCCTACCCTTCCCACTTCCCCAACTCCTTTAGACCTTTTCTTCCTATTTCACATTATCAATTATATCATTTGAACCTTATTTACACTTTTAGCTTTTCACACCAGAGAAACTATTCAGTATTTACACATGTGTGTCCTATTTATTTCACTTAAGAGTATGGC